CGACACCAGATGACACCAGCAGCCAACAGCGACTAATAGCAAATACAGTAACAGCAACCCTATGACTCGTGGTGTTTTCCAGTGACAGCAGTGGGAGCCAAGAAATGCTTTAAACATAGGCGGAACCAAGGCACTTTGCATTGTGCCCTTAAGGTACATCATCATGACAGCAGTGATCAAAAGTTTCGACTGCAGCAAGAGCTGATAGACGCCACCCGTCATGGCACCCATGGACAGCATCTCCAAGAAGTCGCCAAAGGCATACCACAAACCAATGACGATGAAGATGGAAGCACCTTTTGGAATCTCCCAGCAAGCCTTCACACCCTTCATGCCTTCCTCCTGCCACGCCAGGAAGTTCACGAAGAGCATGGAGAAGACTTGGCTCATGATGGCCGGGGAATTTTTGGAGTACAACATCTTCCCATCCACCTTGGAGTAGTCAATGACCATGGGATGCAATGCACGAGACAGCACGAAGATAACGAAAATGCCCATGGTTCCTTTTGCCGCTTCACCAGCCATGGCAAAAAGGACGAAAAAGATCGAAAAAAGATTGGGACTTGGAACTCGTCAGGACGACGTGCTGATGTGAAGATCCGGGCTGAGCCAAAGCCAAAAAAAAATGTGATGCACTGCCGTCAGATGCTGTGATCCATATGATCTCAAAAATGTGAGCCATTTATGATGTTGTGATATGATCTCAAAAAAAACCTAAGCAACAAGGAATTCATCAGAAATCCAGGAGATCGATGTAGATCCTGTTCTCCCACCATCCGCTGGAACCAGCTAAACATCAGCCATTCCCAGCGCGAACAAAACTGCGGTCTAGTAGCGGACTTCATGGGATTAGGTGCAGCAAACCTTAGCTGCAGAAGCTTTGGAACACTGACTAAGAGCTGATGGGTTTTTTGTTGATCTTGAGACATCCAAACACGCAATGCTTGGAATTTGTGCGTATGACCCAGATATATGCTGAAATACTACAGTATACTGAAACGCAAACGTAGAGCATGTTACTGGTAACGCTTCTGCATTGCAACATGCAACCCTAAACTCCATTCTTTGCAGGTGTTTGGCAAAACACTTGAAAGGAAGCTCTGTACCTCAACTTACAGGTTTCCAGTTTCTCAATGCGCAACCATAGTTAACTAAACATCAGTAAACAAATAAATATGTTACGTAAACATCAATCATAGTCTAGTAAACATCAATAAACATCCTGGTCCTGGTAAACATCAGTACTATGATATGTAAACATCGATGAGCTGATTTGAATCCCCTCAATCATGGCTTCCATGACCTCTTCCAGCAGCCCAAAGACAAGGGATCTTCATGAGAAGAGGACAGGGGCAGATCCTGTCGCTTCTCGTTGGCCATCGGTGATTCGAAATACAGCGAGCATATGTTTTAGCATGAAAATGTTTCTAACAATGGTCAAAGTATGTCAAAGTATGTCAAAGTAATCACAATTATCTAATATCCGTAAATGATGTTGTGATTACGTAATAGTTCAAATATGTTCCAAATCAAGAAAGATAATAACGAAAAAATATCATAGTATATCATAGTGATCATTAAATTCTTGTAAGTTTAAGTAAGTTTACTAAGTTGTAACATGTTGTAACACTTCTCCCCTCCTCTGGAACTTCGGTTTCCCGCCGATCTCGAAGTTTATGCCAAGCCTTGTTGGAGTCACAACTGTTTGATGCGAAAATGTTGTGCTTAAGTGAAAAGAAATGATTCAAAATACTCTAATTGAAATCATATGTAATCATATTAAATCATATTGAATCTATAATTAGATATATAGAATTATATAGATATATAATTAGTTCAATTTTCTGTCAAAACAGCTGCTCAACAATCTCACCATAAAGGTACCAGCAAAACCAGTTATCAAGTTTCAGGATTGCTAACCAAAAAGGCATCTCTTTGTATACAATGTATCAAGACATGTGCTGTCTCTGCATATACAGGGAGGTCATCAGTTTTTAGACACCTAATATCACCTAATCCAAAAACAGCTCATGCATCCAAACAAACATCTCAAAGTCATTAAGTACAAGATAGTACAAGTATCTCACACATCACTGTGTAAATTGATATACCCTCTGGTAAACTAACATAGCTATGGAAAATCACCATTTTTAATGGGAAAACTCACTATAAATGGCCATTTTCAATAGCTATTTTGACATAACCAGAGGGTAAATTCATCAATTTTTGAGGGACATTCAAAGCCAACGAAACGCGCCTGGTCTTCATCGGATCCATCGGATCTGGGTTTCGTGGCTTTCGTGGACTTTGTGGACTTCGACTTCGACTTGGGCTTGGAGAGCTGAGCAAAGGACATCAAAAATACATGGTTCATCCAGAAAATACATGGAAAAACCATGGAAAAACCCACGAAATACGGAGGTTTCACATGGTTTCACTGCGTACTTCGAGAAACAGCTAGCAACTTCGCAACTTCGCAACTCGTCCAGTTGCTAAAAAACTGACTCAAAGTGAAATGCGAAAGCTGTTGGACTGCCTTCTTCAGAGACAAGTCGTCCTCCAGGAGCGTGTCATTTCAACTTCCATGGCTTGAAAATTCGAAGGCAGGATTCTAGTAAGTCTACGTAACTCTAGTATACCCATCAGTGAAAATAGGGTACCTCAAAATCCTTAAAATCCCATGAAACCATTGGTTAATCATCATTTCCCAACTAAAAAGTGCCCTTTTGGGAGCAAAAAAAAAGGTCTGACATCTGTCCTGGTGTGCTGAGCTCCGCCTCTCACGGTGTCATCACCACCAACACATCAGGAGGTTTCAAGGAAAAAATGTTCCTTTGGTCCTACTCCCTGAGAAAAAAGTTCATCAGCTCAGACTGTGTCTTTTGCAAATTCAGAGGCCCTGGAATCCCTGGAACGGAAAGCGAACCGCTGCCACTGTGTGTGAGTAGAGATTGAGAATTGGGGATGCCCCATTGTTTTCCCCCACTATCGGATAGACGATTTTGGTGGAATTTGCTAGTCCATCTAGTCCGCTACAGAGATTTACACACAGCTCCAGCCTGCTCAATCCATTCAAGGAGCCATCAGCATGAACCTCGTTTTTTCCATTCAGAGCAGGACTTCGAATTTCGTCATGTCTGAAACTACAGGAGGAGAAGGCGACTCATGGTTTTTATATGGGGATGGGTCAAAACCTTGTACCCCTGGTGAACATCAAAATAGCTGGTAAATGGATGTTCATCCCACTAAAAACGGTATTAATAGATATTGATCCATAGCCATATATGTTTTTATCATGGGATCTCAACGAAGGTGCCCTGAAGCCGATCACCATCCAGGTGCCTCCACAAATTGCACCCGAGACTTCTCAGCTGAGATGTTTGAGTTGTGGAGCGATGTCAGAACCTGAATGCATCATACAGCTTCAAGTAGCCTCTGGTAAACATACAAAAAACTATGGAAAATCACCATTTTTAATGGGAAAATCCACTATTTTAATGGCCATTTTCAATAGCTATGTTAAATTACCAGAGGGTAGCCTGTATTTCTCACATTTCAATCTGCATGTCTCTGCTGCAAAATCATATTCAAGTGAACGAGCTTCCGTTTTTTAGTGCAGAAACTCTTGACGGACAACAAAATGACCCAGGCATCCAATCGTGAAAAAAAATGAGAAATGTGACCTTTTCTCTCAGAAGATCGGAAGGAACCGTTCCACGCCTCCACTCCCACGTTCGATATCACATTGATCAGCCTTAAAAGGGGGATACACATCCGCTTCACCGATCGAATGAAGCATCGCCACTGATGGCATGACATCGCTTAAAAAAGTGAGACTCGGCCACGGACCAGATGATTTTATGAAGGGTGACCTGACCCAGGGGCAGTCGAGATTAGAGGAATCATCAACATCAACATGCCACAGTCGAGATATCGCAAGAGACATGCAATGCATGTGGGGGTTGAAAGCATTGATTTCATCATTTATACTAGTAATGACTGTCAGATACTATCAGTATCTATCACTAAATTATCAGAATCTATCATATCTGATACGTAATTAAGTGTAAATTTATCTTATCACCTGCCAATTTATCTTATCTCTATCTACCACAGCCAGCATGGATTGGCATGGCGTGCACCTGGGACATGCCAATGGGCCGCCAGGAAAGGCCTGCATCCCTGGAGCCAAAACGGCTCTGAAAATCAGCCTGGCAATTTGCAAAATCACAATTTTGTGAATTTATGGATTTTGATGGATTTTCATGGATTTTGATGGATGTCCCAGAATTTCTTGGATTTGGATATATTTGGATATATTTGGATTCGGCTTCGGATGGAAAAATGGATGGAGTTTTTTTTAGGTCCCAGGATTTAAACCCCCACTGTTGGCCCACGACGAAACGGGGAGGTCCACCTGCCAACTGAGTTCCGCCACCGCCTGCTGGACCAACCTCTGGCAGCTGAGCAAACTGTTGAAATCTGAAGAACCTACGACCTCTTGGGGCCCAGCATTCCAAAGCTGCACCAAGGACCCCATTGTTCCTGGTCCATGTTTCACATTGAACTTCATTGAACCGCCAAGGTGTCAAAAAAATAAGTGCAGAAAATTTCAACAAAAACCGTGGCAGTTTGTGCCGCAAATCAGTCCTGTGAGTAGCCTTCTTGCAAACCCAAAGCCCTCGCTGGTACCGACATGGATCTTTCCTCAAGTCACGCGACGCAGCGAAACATGTTGGACCATGGACCATTGGAAACAAACTGGGAAATACTATGGCGGAGACACACCCACGTCATTCTCGAACATATCCACCTCGCGAACGAGGTACGACAATATGCCAGTGCCAATATAAGGGTATGTCTGAAAATGGGGTATACCACCAATTATAGCCATTTAGTAGGGATAATGATCATTAACCATTGGGTGTAGGGGTACACTATTTTCAGACAAACCCATAATATCCTACATGAATCTCTGAAAAGCGTCTGCGACCAACTCCCATGCCTTGCACACGCTTGCTTCGGACACGGTCTCTATCTTTCCGCATCAACCAGTCACGATTTTGGTTTGTCTGTGTTTGTCTGAAAGTGCGTCAACAAACATCAACACAGTCATGCTGCCAAGCTGATCACGTTAGTTGTTTTTACATCAAAAAGTTGCATCTCCAGCTGAGACATGTTTGAAATCTGGTTTAATTTGTTTAATTTAGCCACGCAACCTGTTTGAGTCTGAGCCCAAATTGCCAGCATCCAGCAACCCATGGCCACGATAACCACGATACATGTCCCTGCAATGCTTCGGTGATCGAAGGCGAAAAAATCCTCTTTTTTGCTGTTCGTCGGAACTGTCAGCCTCTGGTCAGGAGAGAAAACACCCTGCAACTTCAAAACCAAACATGACAAAACCAAAATATACCAAAATCAACTAATCAAACCTCTGACTAGAGATACTATAGCCTGAGGCCCAGGTTTTGAATCGGCATGAATCATGGTGAATCGGTGAATCCAATACCAATTCAATCCATGCTGCATTCCGTCCCAGCTATGGCATGACAGGCTAAATCGCTATCCATGGGGCCGCAGGCCCGGTGCGCTTTAAGCGGACCGGGTGTCACGGCTGCGAGACGTTGAAAGATGAAATTCTTTGAAAATGTCAACAAATGTTGGTCGTTGAAATCTGAAACAAATTAAAGTTCCAAATGTATTAATATGTACTATATATAGAACAATCATGAAATATATATCAAATATATCAATATAATATAATATATATACATATAATATAATATATATACATATACATACATATTTATATATATACATATGTATATATATATATATATGTATAATAAATCTCCCGCGAAAAAATGTTCTTAAAGGATCGCATCTGTTTAAAAATTCTCGCCGTGCGAGCTGCGAGGCCGCGGCACTTCGAGGAGCTTCGACCCGTCAAAGTCCACTGCGTCGCGAAGCTTTCGGAAATCCGTGGCTTTGGATCTGGAGACGCCTGGCGGGTCACATGGAAAATATGGAAAATATGGAAAAATGGAAGGCAAAACACCAAGAAAATATGATGAAAATTGATGACATATCTTAAGGTTTCCACAATATGAAACAACTGGAAGAAGTCCGGGCCCCAGTGGAAACCTGACGATGGATGGCCTTTGCGATTGAGGCCAAAGGACCAAGCAGGCGACCGCTTCAGCAACGCCATGTCGATTGGGACCTGGACGCTGGCAGGTGAAAAATGAAAGGCCGCACTGATTGGTAGATTTGGATAGATTTGGTAGTACCATGTGGTACCAGTATGCTTGTTATGCTTGTTGATTCTCACTTGTCATACAAACATGCAACTCCACTGGGTACATCTGGGTGCTCCTCAAGTTGCTGTTGCTGTTGCACATTTGGATCCAGCAGTGACAAAGACATCGTTTCAGACAACGGTATTGGAGGGATCCCGGCCGGCAGTGCTTCCAACTTGTAAGGTTTCACCTGACAAAGTCCCTGATTTTTGTCCATTTGAGCTGGAGGAATCACCATGGGTTGGTCAGTTCCATGGGTTGTTCCTCTCTTGAGAAACATGTACACATTTTGACCGTGTTTTGACATTTGATCCAAGTTCTTGCATCCAAAAATTGAGCATATGGTTGGCTGTCGCTTCAACCTTCAGAACTGCTGCTGAATTTTGGGATGCAAGAAGTCAACATAAGTCAACCATATGCTCATTGATGCAACCTTTAACCTAGCAACCTTCTTCTACCACACCTCAACGCTTGCATCCTCGGTCTCTGCATCTTCGCCAGTTGCAGCCGTTGCAGCCGTTGCAGCCGTTGCAGCCGTTGCAGCCGTTGCAGTTGCAGGCCGCCCAACCTGCGGAGATCAAGGGATCAAAGCTGCACCAGCTACGGCGCCTTTGACCGCACCCGCCTCAGGGCCAACCAGTCGTGGGAACCGCGGCGAACATCCCCAACTTCGTTGCCCAGGATCCAGTAGTCCCAGTGGTTCCAGTGGTTCCAGAGGTCCCGGAGGTCCAGTCACAAGCACCGACCCTGGCAGGTGAAAAGCTGTATGATGCTGTATGGCTCATGGTCGAAGAGCTTTAACATGTCAAGTTCATTCAAGTTCCCCTGGTGTTTGAAGAAACATTCAGGATCCCTTTCCAGACTTTCCAGATTCAAAGTTCAAGAGATTTCACACTTCAACAGGTACTTCCCTAGTCATCTAGGTCACGGAAACAGAACGTTGCTACCTTTGGAGTCATCTTCGCCCTGCCTTTGGAGACTTTGGAGTCGGAGTATCTGGAAACGCTGGAAACGTGTTCGTTCAACGTGTCCACAGAGGTCTCAGCCTGTTCCAGTCCATTCCAGCATATTCTGAAACGAGATTGGTTGGGAACACATATTGAATACATATTGAATATACATCTTGAATGGACATGTTCATGTTATATTTGAATAACTAAATTAGAATATGGCAATGATCAGTCATGATGTATCTTGACCAAAATGAGTGTTTGCAGGTGGGATGCCTGCACAGCATGAGACATCTGGGTCTCGCAGCTGTCTTTCTTTGCCTCGGATATCCCAGGACAGCCCAGATTGTGGTGAGTTTTGGGACGTTGAAGCAAGCGATATTCATAAGATTTCATAAGATTTCATAAGATTTCATAAGATTTCATAAGATTTCATAAGATCGTCAACCCAAAGGTGGAAACACTGCTGTCTTATCTGTCTTCAAAAGAAGTAGCTGATGTCCCCTCTGTATTGATACGGCATCAAGACCAGCCCCAAATCAGGCCGTTCCCCAAAGAAAACATGGACCTGAAATCCTATAGTTACGTTGATCCAGATACCAAGAACGGGATGGCTCACAAGCTTGTACCCCTGGTGAACATCACAATGATTGCAAGACATACCACTCCAGGGATAAGATATAGATTCTATATAGATCATTTTGCTATATTAGATGGTATATTACTGGTTACTGGTTGGTGCTTTCAACCCATCTTGAAAAATGATGGAGTTCGTCAATGGGAAGGATGACATCCCATATATGACATGGAAAATGAAAGTCATGTTTGAAACCACCCAGGGATAACCAGGGTATGTTTTGGTACCCTCTGGTAAGTTAACATAGCTATTGAAAATGGCCATTGAAATAGTGAGTTTTCCCATTAAAAATGGTGATTTCCATAGTTATGTTAAATTACCAGAGGGTAGATGTTTTCTGCCGGACATTTCAGGCTGTGGATCCCCTGCCGGAAGGCTCCACATCGCCACATCGCTCTGTATCGAAGCCTGTGCCAGCGGCGCCACCGGCGTCCGGTAGCGGCGCAGTTCCTGGGAAGCCATCCATGAAAAATGGTGAGACATGTCATGTTTATAGGTCTCACATATCATGAAATATGATCAAGTCTGATCAAATATCATGAAATATCATGACATATCAAACTGAATCAGATGTTGACTGCACATATTTGAGTTACATTTGAAGTAATATTAATATTGGATGCATCAATCATCTGTGATATGATCATATATGATATGAATGATGTGTTCGTTATTTGAGTTATATGATATATGTGAATATGTTGAACGAAATATGAAGACTTGTGATTGTCAGTGCACAAGCTCTTCAAGTGCTGCTCCTTGCCGCGATGGTCTTCTCGTGGAAAGAGGAAGCGTGGGAAGGTCGTGTACACCGACAGGACCTGCAGTAGTTCAAAAACTTCCGAACTCCGAAGCGAAATTGCAACGCAGAACTCCAAATATGCGGCAAATTGGAACATATTGGAACTGTTCTGTTCTGAATTGGGCACCTGTTTCGAGCAAAAGTCATAGTGCTTTTCTCGATGGAAATCCTCTCTTGAGGAATAGGCCTCCCAATTCAGCTCCAGCGGTGCTGTGCCCCTGGTGATGAACATCATCCATGTATTTTTTGCATGTGATCATCAAAAATCATGATGAAAATTGATGAAAATTGATGAAAATTGATCACATCATGATGAAACATCATGATTTCCATGATGAAATATCATGTGGTCATGAAATTTGTACCAAGTGTCAACATCAGAAATCCCAAAAAAATCCCACTACCACTAGGCCTCCAGGAGCTGGCGACGTGTTTTGACCATTTTGACCTCTGAAAGTCGGTCCAGTGGGAAATTCCCGTCGTTTTCCATTGCCCAAATTGTGAATGTCGTCATGTCACAGGTGCCTGGGACTCCAGGACTTTGTTGGGCTCAACTCCCTTGGAACTTCGGTTCCCATCGACAGCCTGCAAACTTTTGATATCTGAGGGATTTATATGGATTTATATGGATTTATATGGATTTATCAGATTCATCTCCAGATTCATCTCCAGATCCAACCTCTGCCACCGAATTGCCATCATTTGAGGCAGGTCCTGTCAATCAACAAAGATCTGGGCCATTCTTACCACTGCGGAAATGGAAATTCTGAGCCGCCGCCATACTCCGTACTCCGTACTCCTGCATTAGATGTCGCTCCCGTTGCAACCTGCGATGTCCCATGATGTCCCAGTATCAGCCAACTGGGACTTTAGTTCCAACCATCCAACAACCGCCTCAACATTTCGAGGTGGTGATAATATGCGAACTTGAGAATACAGTGTAGTGGAACTGAAAGAAATGCCCCATATGGTCAGCCTCTGCCATGCGGCATCTCCTTGAGAATTCTTTTGGTTGGATATCTTGAGCCCAAAAAAGACCAGAGGAGAAGATATCCACTGGCAAAATGAAGGCTTTCTCCAACTGCCAAAAAGCACGCTTCTCTTGCAAAATCCTTGAAGTTGCTTGATGTGGAGCTGTTGTGTCTGTTTTCCCTCCCAGCTGCCCCTTCTGGGACGGCAAACTAAGCGAAAACTTTCAACACCTCTCAGACGAGAATCGTCCGGGGTTTCTATGCGGTCCCATCGACCCGCACTACGGAATGGTCGCCCCAGATTTTAAGGGGAAACATTCCACTCCAAATGGCTCCAAGCCACTACTCCCACCCAGCGACCAAGGATTCTCAGACAGAGTCGCAGCATCATGATTTACAAATCAGTTGCAGAATATGTTTTCAGATGATTTAGGATTCAAAATTCATAAAATTCACATCAGGGTCGCACAGATCGTTGGTTTCAGAGATTCATCACTCAGCTCTCGGCTGCTGCATTTCGAGCCTCACGTGCCTGACGTTCCTGTTCCACTCTCCACAGAGCTCCCTGATGGACCTCCGTGATCTTCTGCTCCAACGTGTCAGCGGTCACAAATCGCCTTTGTTTAAAAGCGCAGTCAGGGCATGTGCAGAACAAAAACCATGGGAGGAAGTTTTAAAAGGGCAGAAAACACTGAGCAGAAATGACTGGAAGAACAGATCCCGTTGAAGCGTAAAACGTTGATTTGTTGTCAGCTGCATGTCAGCTGCATGTCAGCTGCTTTGGGAACTCAGCGACCGACCACACGTGCACCACACTGCGCTTTTGCCCATGACGGCGCGCACGACCAATGGCCTCTGCAGAACATGGTCTGTTCCATATGGAGGTAGTGACTGGATCATGACCCAAAACGAGGACGCGCCGCGACGCACCCTAAAGATCCAGAAATTACCAATCAAGTACTCCATGGTTTAGTGGTTAATCAATGGCCCAGTCGAAATAGTTGATTTTCCCATTAATAGCATGGTGATTTAACCCATAGTTATGTGAACGTTTACCAGAGGGTAGTGGTCACCATTTTTCTTCGCTCCTGCATCTCATACCCCACGGCTCGCTCCGCATTCGGTGCCAACATGGGATGTAGGAAGACCACATGGCTGGCGGCGGTCAAGTTGGTACCTCCCAAGTGCTGTCCCAACAGGACAGCAACAAAGATGGGAGTATAACCAACCAGTAAGGACACTTTAAGCCAGAAAAATAAAGATGTTCTACTTTGACATAAAATGAGATTCAGGTTGGAATTGAGATTGATATATATATATATATACAGTGTATATATATATATATGTATACAGTGTATATATATAATATATATATATATATATACGACATTGATATCAATAATAAATTGCCAATGATGATATCACTAGATATCACCCAGCAAAGGTGCCAACACGCATTCCCAACCTGAAGCAGACTGCGCCAATGATAGCAGCAACACAAACGTCTCGGACTGCGGGTTGTTCTGCCAATCTCGAATGATCCCCGCACGCCTGGGCAGTAGATCCCCTGAAATGGCCCATTTAAAAGTGGGGAAAATCTGGGAAAAATCTGGGAATCCATTCTTTATTCAGTGGGTACCCATGGGTCCCCTATTTTCAAACAAGCCCCATACCTTGCTTGGGGATTTGGGGACTATGACTCATATGACCCACAAAAAAAGGGGTCAAAGTTGCGAACGTCCAAGTTGCGTTCCGACTCCACCCTGGAGCGTTGTACAAGGAATCCCAAATTCTCTCAGAGCAGAACAAACCTGGCGGGCTCATGCGAAAGGCTGAACAATGCTGAAAATTGGAACAATCAGTTTCCCAGGGGTATCCTAATGTCTTATATAGTCTTAACTTGTATAGTATAGTCAAGTCCTATAATGTGGGTTAAATAGGTGTTATAAACCATTCCCAAGTTGGGTGGGTTATTATTGTTTTACCCACATTATAATGTGTCCTAATTCCTGACTGAAACCAATCTGTCAGCTCAATGAGAACCATCAGCAGCTCGTTGTGGCCTTTCGTTTCAGGTCGTCGAATTGCACGAACAAAATCACCTAGCCGTGCAGAAGGGCCAGCATATCATTGCAATGTGAAATCAGGCCTTATGTAATCCATATGTAATCCATATGTAGTCCACATATAATATGGTCCTCAGACAAAATTTTAAATTGATCCTGTATCATTTTTTGCCCAGCTTCCAAGACCAAGACCACATGTGTTGAGCTTCGGATCATGAAGAAATGACCCTCAGTTGCCCGCCTTGGCTTCACCGTCTTGGCGTCGAAGCTCATGCAACTTGTTGACCTAACGAGTTGGAAAGGTGTAGAATCGACCGCCAATTTTCTCACCTTCTCATATTTTCTTGCGCATGTTCCAGGTTCATTCACAAAGTCTTCAGGTGTCTTTGCCATTCTTTGCCAAGGTGTCCAAAACTAATCAGAAGAAACACCATGGACTATGAGATCGTATGAGAGTGTTTGTCATTCAAACCAGCCATTGCAGCCGATGGTACAAGCACTGCCAACTTCGTTCCGTATTTGTCCAACCGCACACCTGCACTGAGACTGTTGTTTCGGAGTGGCCAAATTTATGGAATCAAAGTTTGGGACTTTCGAATTGACGGTTGGTTCATGTTGTTTCCCCCTTTTCTGTTGCCCCTTTTGGACTCCTCCACTGTTTCCCCTTGCCCCCTGTTCCAGGCCTTCAAACACTTCGCTCTTTGTGGAATTTATTTGATAGCAGAACATGCCATCATCATCAATAAGAACAACCCATCATTAATTAGACAAGTAATGACAACACATGATAACTACTACACATAGATAGTTTCCCTTTAAAAACGGCTAGTTTATTCCCCTTCCATCTCAGTCTCATTCAGATCATTCAGTTTCCCAGAAGTTCTTCCGCCAGAACGAGCCGCTGATGCGCCTCGAGAGGAGAGGTGGGGAGTTGGTTCAGGCTCTTTTTTCTCACACTTCTCCTCCAACTCGCTGACCAATGGCCGGACCTCAATGGTTTTTCAGAACCCAACAAGTTGGTGAACTGGGGCACTGATGGGTACTTAGGGCTGATCTTTCAATGGTATGAAATTTAGTGCAATTGCAGCCTTTTCAAGTGTGTGGTTGGTGAAAACAGTACAACTACAGCTGGTACAACACTCAAACTTCATTGGGACTCCCCTCAATCCATATCCGGGTAGTACACGCAACCACCTTTCAGAACGGTGACGCTGAGACCCTCACATCTTTTTGTTGTAACGGTCGTTGACCTCGGAAACTCTCATTTGAATCACGGAAAGCTCTCAGGATCTAAACATATACCATCTGGTTATGACATTCACAGTTCGCCATGGAAAGATCCACCCATCTTTAATAGGTAAACCATCTATTTCTATGGGCCATTCATTTTCCATGGCGAACTGTTAGTCATAACCAGGTTGGGTATATCATTCCATTGGTCTCCAGGTGGCGGACAAAGGCTGCATTTGCTGAACTTTGCCACGCTTTCTCTGAGGCATCCAATGCCTCATCTTGAAAAACATGATCGTGAATACCTCAAGATACCTCAACTATTGATGATATTCATGTTGAATATATGTTGAATAGATGTTCATGATGATATTGATGATATTGATGATATATGGTTGTAGAGGATTTGGTTGAGGATTTTCTTGAATGTTTTTTTGGGGGTCATGTTTATCAGGTTTGGATACAAATCTGGACTCGAAATCATCCCATCAGATCCACACCTGAGGCAGCTGCAAAACGCATGAGCACAAGGAGTGATTGCCAAACGAGCAAGTGGAAGGTCTTCTTCCATGCACACGTTGCAAATTCGATCCTGGCTGTGCCGGAGCAAAGCCAAATCTCTATGATCACACAGAAATGGCATGAAATGGCTCATGTTATGTCATGTGATGTCATGTTTGTTCGGTGGAAAAAGCGGAAATGATAAATCAAGAATCAGAATGGCATGGGTAGTGCGACTCTTGCTGTAAAACATGGTATTTCCCAGACTTTCCCACATCCCAGATCCACATGACCCGCTGGATATGGCGTCCTCGGGCTTGCCCTTGGCCAAGGCCGCCACGGTGCGTTTGAAGAAGTCCATGGAACTTCCGGCCTCGTGGAGTTCCCACAGATTCTGGGCCTGGCCATGGATGACCATGGATGGCCATGGATGGTGAAGGATGGCAATCTGACAAAATCTGCTGGATTTTGATGAATGAATCCCGATTCTCACAACTTTAAAAATTGAGAAATGTCACTGCTGGTTGAAGAATCAAAGAGCCACTTTGAAGGGTGGAAGGTCTTGACAAGACGAATGCACAAAAAGACCTTCGGCTGATCTTCACAACTCACACGAGACTCACTGGGAAAGCCTTGGATTCACAACGGCATCCCTGGCCTGTTCGCCCCCCTGTGAGATCAGCATCTTCTCCAACGACGCCACCTCCATGGAGGACTCCATGAAGATCTTCCAATCCTCGATGACACCTCGTTTCGGTTGAACCCATCCAAGGCTTTGAATCATCTCCTGCCGCGACGTGTCACGTCTCTTCGCGACGTGACTTCCAAACGTCAAGGAGAATGGAACATGTGACCGTGGCGACACTCAGTGAAAATACTCACTTTGCATCGTTTGTTGTTTCCAATATTTTTTTCACATCTGACTCAACCACCTTGTGAAGTTCATAGTTTGATGGTGAAATGATCACGCCTCACTGCGCGGGCGATGACCGTCCAAGTACGATAAGAAATCCTCATGGGCTTCGCGCCGAGCTGCTTCCTCCTCCTTCTCCACATCCTCCGGGAAGACTTCGCTGAGATGGGCATTTTTTCAAGAACCTTTTTGAGGAAAAGATGCTGGAAAAATAACAACTTGGACGGTAAAACCAGAGTTTCCTGTACTTTTTGGAGTGGGGCGGCATTAACTTCATGACCGAGTCATGACCTGCAAAATCAAAGATTTCAACCGAAGATCAGAAGCCAACTTATCCTGTGAGGGAGATTGAGAGCTGGCCTCAACAAGCTCTTTGGCCGCGGTGCCCTCTGCTTTCAGCTTGGCCTGTCCCAACAGGAACCATTCGACTTGAGGCGCCGGGGTAGGGGGCGAAAGCTGGTGAAAGGCCAAGGGGCAAATATCAAGCGGCAAATGACATGATTGGACCTTCTCTCAATCAGCCTATGGCGAGCAAGGGCATGAGTGAAGTATGAAGTTTCATGCGATTGGAGATTCCAGCCCCCCCCAAATAAAGCAAGAGGGACTTCAGCTAGCAGAAGCTAGCTGTCGTGATGTCAGAAAGTTGATGGAAATTGATATCTGTAGAGATTTTGACAGCAAAAATCAGGAGCTAAGCAACACTAAAGGGGATGCACATGAAATTCCTTCACTCGGTTACTTTGGCTCTAGTCATCCAGGTGCTACTTGTACTGTCCCTGGGATATGGTGGATGTCTGTGTGCTCCCCTCTCCCCAGTACTCAAAAAATGGTGATTTAACCAGCAAAAAATGGTGGTTTAACCAGCAAAAATGGTGGTGAATGGCCTTCATCTTGTCGATTTCAGCGCTCCACGCGATCTTCCGTTTCTTGCTCCTCTTGTCCAACAGACGCCTTGGAGGCCAGGGCCGCCGGCTGTCACCCATGCACCCAGCCCACGTTCAACCAGGGCACTGGAGCAGGATGATGACACGGGCACAACGTCTCACCTGGTTCCTGCGGATGGAGTCACTGACGTCTCAAAAATGTCTCCCAAATGTGGAATCACACCAAGTTGTGACTGAGGTTTGTCGTGGTTTATCCACATCAGGCCTGAATTTCAAACAAAATACATTAACTGGATCAACAAAAACAGTGTTAGTGGAGTATACGAAATGCTTGGGGTCCCAATCTTTAGAACCACTTTGAGATGTCGCCTTGCACGCACCAGTCGTCGTTCTTTCTGGTCGGAGATGCGTCCACATTCTTCGTTGGCATTCTGAATTTCATCGGCCCCGCCAACCTGCACCGTTCAAGGAACTGCCAGGGGATTTGTTTCACGTTTGTTCCCGAAAATAATGACATGAAACAGAATGTCAAAGCTCGGCGTCCTAAGCACATGTCACTTTCCGACCTGAAAGTGGGAGCAAAGCTTCAGCAAACGCTCGAGCGCGGAAACATTTTCCTTCACACTATAGGCACAAGTGAAAATTGGTCAAAATCGATTCTGAATGCAATTTTCCTATCCAGCAACCAGCTTAATCAGCTCAATCTCTACTTTTGGGATCTTTCTGGCGTAGCCAACGGCGTGGTTATCTCGAACTGTTTTGGAAGCGCGACGCAGCTGCCGGAGATTCAACCAACAGATCTTCGTCCTCTGAGCGGAAGGCATCATCGCCTTAGTGGGGGGGAAAGTTCAGCTGGACACATCAACCACCCTCTGGTTATGTCAACATAGCTATTGAAAATGGCCATAGAAATAGTGAGTTTTCCCATGAAGAATGGTGATTTTCCATAGCTATGTTCAATTACCAGAGGGCAACAGATTTGGGGATCAAAAATCTGGATCAAAAACAAAAAACTGCAAGCTTGACCACCAAAATTGGGGATTCGGAAGCTACAGTTCAACTCCGGCGTTCCGAGTTTAGGCCCCTTTCTTTGGGACAGTTGGAGTCCTTGGTTTCAGTTGGAGCTCTGAGGCTGTGACCATTGTAGTCAGGCGCTTCATGTGCTTGACCCAGATACAAAGCCCGCTCTGCAGCAGTGTGGTTGATTTGTACCACGTGCTCCTTGGGCATTGGTGGAAATGTTCCAGAAATTTCCAGAACTGGGACAGCCCAGGCTCATGGCTTTCCTACACATCAAAACAAGGACATCTATAGAATCTATCAGGTAGTAATCAATGGCAAGTCTAATGGTCGTTTCCAGATGGTTTCCAGATGGTTTTCCAGCCTCAAGTCGAATGTGGGGAAGCTCTGCCGTGTTCCTTAGGGCGAAGCGATGGGATGCGCAACCTGCATAAGTTTCTTGTCACATCTGGAAATAGGCAACGAACGACAAAAACCAGGGTGACTCAACAATAATGGAGATAGCAAAACAACCACAATGAGAAGATAGAAAAATGAACACCGGACCCCAACAATTTCGTACCATTTTCAGATCCAGAACTTTGACCGCGCGTGGCCAATTTTTCACAGGCATGTCTAAGACTTGCGTGCTCCATGGGACGCCCGATCATCGGATCATCCAGATTTTCTGGAAAATCAAAAAAAAAATGGAGGTTTTAATGGGAAAATATGGAAAATCATCTATAAATGGGCCATGTTCCATGGCTATGTTAAATAACCAGAGGCTGATTCCTACAGTGCCTCCCCCCAGGACTGGGACGGATCTCGCCCAGTGGCTGTCGGACATAGTCATCCAGGAATCGCGCGGCAGACTCTGTCAGGAGTCGATCCGACTGACGCCGCTCGAAAGGTCAATCGACTGGGGATTTGTGTGATGTTTGCTTCAGAAAAATGACTACAATAGCAGTTACCTAAGATATCCTCAGAATTCCATTTGTTTTCACTATGCCATAGACATCCATAGACGTTTTGTCGTTGAAACATGTTGAAACCAATAAACATTTTGGATACCCCCTGGTAAACGTTTACAAAAAACTATTGGTTAAATCACCATGCTATTTATGGCTAAATCCACTATTTCTATGGCCATGCCCAAGGCTGACGGCCTCCCAGTCCTCCAAGTCGGGTCCAGTGGCACGTCCGCCCTGACGAGGTGTGAACAGCTGAGAAGGGACATGGAAACCATCGTCACTATGGAAAAACCATGGAAAAACCATGGGAAAACTATGGAAAAACTATAAAGATGATGAAGATAATGATAAAGATACTCATGAATCTCATGATGATTGCGATGATGGCTCCAAAGGTTGCCTGTCCCAATCCATCTTTGCTGAAACCATCGTTCAAGATCTTCAAGAATCAGCAAGCACGTGGATGAACCATCCCCAAGCAGTGAGAATGGGCTTAAAATGTGGACCATGTTTGGCCCAGAAGGCACCCACACCTGCACCCTGATTTTTTCACACCTGGAAGCCGTCTGCCAGGTAGCCCGGGAGATCAATGCGGAAGAGTGATGACATGAAAATCACGCCTCCCGGATTCAAGGGATGACATGGGATGACACGGGATGACCATCATCTGGTTGATTCAAAACCCTCCGATCCAAACAGGTTGCACCGAATTTCCATGTGATCCTCTAAGAAAAATGCCATCTGAACCTCAAGAATCTCTTTTTTTAGCGAAGCTGAGCACCGAAAAAGACATCTTGAGCATAGAGTATTCAAAAATGATTAGCCTTCGAACAACATCTCATAAAAGCAGGAAAAAGGGAAGAGCCTCCCGATAAGGCAACCAATTCTTATAGGCAATCTCCATTTCGTACCACAACACCCACGGGGCCTGCATTGTTGTCCACCGGTGGCGTGCCGGTCAAGCCCCAACGGAAGTGCGCACGGAGGAATTGCAAGCTGTTCCTCGGCCCCAAGTTGGAACAGCTTCTGTCATTCTGATGTTCTGAACTCCAAGGATATGGGTATGTCATGATATGTCAATGTCTTTGTGGGAAGAGTTGGGGATGCTTATCTTTGATCTTTAGCCACTTTAGCCATCTGTCCTGTGTAAATTGCAAGATCATCATGGGGTGACACTGCTCATGTTTTGCCGAGCATCTGCTGGGCGCTTTCAAAGCTCTCCAACTCGTGAAACTGGCAGCATTCCACATCTAAATGCAGCACAGCGTGTATGGATATATTGTATGGATAATATATATATATATATTATATATGTCACATATATATGTATGGATAATTATAATATAATATGGATAATTATAATATAATATGGATATATGTGTATATTATATTTTTTAAAAAAAAAACATATGTATATATATATAATATCTCCATAGCCACAGAAATAAGATAAATGCATCTATTCAAATGATTTGTTCCCAGACATTGGCAGCCCCATGGCATGGTCCAAATGCCTCATCGAAAACAATGCGTCTCCAATAGAACATCTCCAAGACGGGGAACCTCGAGCAACTCTGCAGGCGGTCGGGGACCATGGCTGAAATTCCATCCCATGTGCAGAGCTCAGGTCATGATCTAAGCTCAAGGCTCCAGCTCCTGGCGCCAAAAATGTAGCAAAAATAGACCAAAACCCAGACCCATTTGATGGTTTCCTCTGAAGATCTGCTGAAAGTTGGGGATACCAAAATCATCAAATGAGAGGCTTCTTTTTGGAATCCCCCAATTTTGGACACCCACTTTGAAACTTCTCCTTCCAGTCGTTCACAGAGCAGCCGCTTTTTCTGCCACTTACCATGGAATGTGTACCTCCAGGCAGAAGAATTTACAACAACGTCGACAGTCACAGAAAATGTTTCAGGAAGCTTCCACATCACTAAATAAGCTGTTGACAAATGTTGACAACATTTCGAATCAATGTTCCAAGTGGGGTCAACATTTGTCAACAGTTCCATGAGATCCAAAAAAATCCACCTGTTAACCTCATGAATCCCATCCCAATAGGAAGACTAGGAGGGCCAGGAAGGCCAGGAAGGCCACCTGCCAGAGATGCGCAGCCACTAAGCCCCACACCCTGCATCAGGCCATTCACTTTTCCCCGCAGGTGGGATAGACGAGAACTGTTGTTGGTGATCTCCTGGTAGCGTCGAAATAGCTGGCCAGTGGCTGGGTAATCCCATAACAATCCATCCATACTCCATGATCAATCTGGACCATCTGGATAGGAAATCATCTCGAAAAAAAATCGAAGTTTGGTGACTTCTACCCGTTTCGAGATGATTTCCCATATCTGGGTCATCCCATAACAATCCATCTTCGGACCGAACCGGAAAAGCTCAGAAGATCTTCTCCTGCCGTCTCTTTAGGTAGATCTGGGAGTAGAGAAGTCGGTAGGAACAAATCACCACGTCAGCATCAGCCACATCACTGGCCTGGCGTCACCGAAGACAACATGGCATGGTCAAAGTAGATGCTGAGGACAGCACAACAAATCCGCAAAAATGGGGACCCAAAACTGTCGAAAAAGTGTTCTCTAGAGTTGAAGTCAGGTATTTGGAGCCTTCAAAACAGTAGTTTTCTCCGGGGTTTCCCGGTTTCGATTGCTGCAACCATAGTTGAAACAGCTTAGAGCCACAGCCTTGGCTCTCCCCAGTGGCGACACGTTGGACATGGCAAAGATCTTCAGAGGGCAATTCTCACGCGACCATCCTCCCTGCATGTGTTGCCTTGGCGCAGCCAGGACCGACCGACCTATCTTCACAGCATTTCACAGCTGAAAATGGAAACAAAATCAGACCATTGTTTGGTGTGGGTAATACCGTGCAGGCGCGTGCAGGTGCTTCCAGCAATACGATGAAGAAACCTTCGAAATGTTGCAAAGTCGAGTTACCGCAATGGTCTTCCATCCCAGAGGAACTTGGAAATTTCGTTCAACCACTGGTCAAACAAGTTGGAAGGAACGACGATCAGCGTGCCCTTGGCTGGCAGAAAGTTCCCACGGTCCACCTCAAGAAAGTCAGGCAGCGCAACCACTTTCAATCCGCAAATCTCTCTTTCATCTCTAAATTCAGCATCAGTTATCTCCTTTCGTCACTGCATTCTATTCTTGAACCGTCTGGAAGTTTTGGCGCCGTTTCTGCCCTGACAACCCTTCAGTTGCCAAGTCATCCAAGTGATGTATTACGGGTACCACTTGGCCCTGTTCCTCGATTTTCGGTAACAACTTTACATCAGGACCTACTTCAATCTCTTGTCATTCCGATCAGGAATCCGAACAATTACGATCTCCATCAGAAGTTACATCAAAGAAAACAAAAATCCAAAGAGTCTTCAGTTCTTTCCACATGTTCGCGCCTGCGGAATGGGCGGCAGGGGCTCCTTCAACTGCCGATCGATCAAGGCTATAGTGGTGGCCTCAAGAAAAAGTGGGAAATACCAGGACCATTGTTTTACCAGATTGTCACATTTGTCACTCCTTCATGCCGCCACAGAATTCCAAAAGTTTTCGCTAGGTTTCAAAACGCTCCATATCACAGACCATCATGAATATCTGATGGAATATCTGATGGAATATCATGAATATCATGACCATCATTTCATCTTGATATATCTGATGAATATCTTAGCATCAGGCCGTCTTGCCATAGCCGATCTTGTCTGCCAGAATCCCGCCGTGCACCGGATACGCCTTGGCGCCAGCCATGCTAAGTTGCAGAAATCCCTGACCGAGGATCGACGCCAAGGCACTGCTCGGATTCGAAGGTCCAACACCTGGGCTCTGCGAAGATCCGGGGGTTGCAATCCACATGGCTCTGCGTTGTGTCCTGGTCCTAGAAGAATATGACATGTCACAAAATCATACAAAATCAACATGTTTCGAATAAATTCGAATCATATGAATTAATGGTATAGGAGTCACCGAAGTTGAGAATTGATTAGGCAAACCTGAGGCCTGCACAAATGGAGCAGTGTTGTTGCCAATATGTTGATCCGCTCTCCGTATCTCATCGATCTTTCCCTGCCAAAAAGGCATCGCATGGCATCACAGCCAATGTCCAGATTCTGAATCGAACATCAACATCTTGGAACATCTTGGAACATATTTCATGTGTTTCATGGGTTTCATGTGTTCACCATTTAATAGTCATTCATCATCATTATCGATAATGAGTCATGACCCATAAGACTATGATACTTGATGATGATCTTGATATGTTTTTTTACCATAATAGTGACATCACCATAATAGATAATAATAATAATCATTAATCATCATAAATCATCCAGAATCCAGAATCATCATTAATCATCATTAATCATCCATAATAGATAATAATCACCATACCAGTAGTACCGCACAAGGCGGTGGCGGAAGTTTCAAAAATAGGAAACCTATAGGAGAGCTTGGTTGTTGTGAATCAGGGATGGCAGAGCGAAGCCACTGATGGACCGAAAGGTGCTTGAGGTCTCCTCTCTTTTTCTCTCTTTCTCTGACTATCTACTTACCTACCAGCTTATCTTCTATGTATCTATCTATCTGTTGATCTAGCTATCTATCTCTCTCTTTCTCTCTTTCATCTCATCACCTATCTACCTATCTACCTATCTATCTATCTATCTTTCTATCTATCTATCTATCCATCTATCTATCTCTCCATCTATCTATCTCTCTATCTATCTATCTATCTCTCTCTCTCTCTTTCATCTGTCTATCTGTCTAGCTGTCTACCTGTCTATCTATCTATCTATCTATCTGTCTGTCTGTCTGTCTGTCTGTCTGCAATGTAGTGTAATTGAGTGTCATTGAGTGCAGTGTAGTGTAGTGGAGTGTAGTTGTGGAGTTGCAGGTGTAGTTGTATTTTAGTGGAGGGTAGTGCAGTGTAATGTAGTGAAGTGTAGTGGAAGATGGTGTAATGGAGCCCAGTGGTATTTATTTGTGTAACTGTCTATCTATCTATCAAAAACTGGGTATTTGAGCAAACCCTACAAAAACTTTGGGTTTGGATATGTTGGGTATCTATCTATATATATATCATTATCTCTCTCTCTCTCTATCTGTCTGTCTGTCTATCTGTCTATCTGTCTATCTATCTGTCTATGTCTCTACCCATCTATTTCTCTATTTGTCTTGGTGCCTAACTATCTGTCTATGTGTCCATGTATCTATCTGTCTGTCTCGCCATCTATGTCTCTAGCTGACCCTCTAACTATTTATCTATCTGTGCGTCTATCGATCTATCTATTTATCTATCGGTCTGTCTGCCCGTCTATCTATGTATCTATCTATGTGTCTATCTATCTATCGACCTATCTATGTGTCTATCTATCTGTCTATCTATCTATCGATCTCTCTATCTATCTATCGACCTATCTATCTATCTATCTATGTATCTATCTATCTATCTATCTATCTATCTATCTCTCTCTCTATCTCTCTATCTATCTATCTATCTATCTGTCTATCTATCTATCTATCTATCCATCCTTTTTCGACATCACAACTTCCAAAAGTGGTCCGAACCCCTGGTGTTTTGTACATTTTGACTTCGAAATGTGCTTCGCGCCACAACGGCGTGCACTTTTTCGACATCACAACTTCCAAAAGTGGTCCGAACCCCTGGTGTTTTGTACATTTTGACTTCAAAATGTGCTTCGCGCCACAACGGCGTGCTTTCGACATCGCAACTTCCAAAAGCGGTCCGACGCTGAGGTGTTTTGTACATTTTGACTTCAAAATGTGCTTCGCGCCACAACGGCGTGCACTTTTTTGACATCGCAACTTCCAAAAGTGGTCCGAGAATGGTGTGTTTTGTACATTTTGACTTGGAAATGCGCGTCGCGCCACAACGGCGTGCAATTTTTCATCTCTCGTCTGGCCAGCTGGCTCCGCACCCGCCGCTTTAGCGAGCCTACTTTTCGACCCTCCGGAGCCACAAATCATTGGAAAAACACGGTGTTTCGCGACTTTCCTACCTTTTCGCGCATCTGCATCTTCTGTCTTCTTACTCTTTCTCTTCTGATCTTCTCTCTTCTAATCTTCCTCTTCTGTCTGCCTCTGCCCTGCTCTGCTTTTCATCTCTCCATATTGTCGGAAGTTTGACTTCTAAACTTCCTTCGAATAATCATCATTCATCATCATTAGTCATCATTAATTAATCATCCATGAATCATCATTAATCATCATTCATAATCTATACATTAATAAAAATATCTATAAGGGTAATGTTATATCCCATCAAATGCCCATATTAATCATCCATAATAGATAATAATCATCCAAAATAGATAATAATCATCTTTAATAGATAGTAATCACCATAATATACCATAATAATCATCATTAATCATCATAAATCATCCATAATCTAGACCCACAGTCCAACACACAGTCCATCACAGTCCTTCCATCCGGCGTGGATGGGCCACCGAATCTGCACCACCGTGGAATCCTGCGATGACAACATGGCCCTATTGGCGTTGGCATGTCGCCTTCATCCATTCATATTAAATAGTAGTCTAATATGATATTATATATATATACGCGCAACGCCTGGGTTTTGCCCAGGCGTTGCAGCGTAGAGGTTTCCCATTCACAAACAAATGATGTTGCAAATTACCGTAATTCCTATGGGGAAAATAACAAAGGTACTAGGGACTATTAAACAAACAAGGTCAAAACACCCGAAATTCCTATGGGAAAAACAAAAACGGCATAACATTTGAAATTCCTATGGGAAAAACAACAAAGGTACTAGGAAATTTTAAACTCTCAAATCGTGAAACTTAACATTCAATTAGGAAGATCAACAAAGATGTTAGGGAATATTAAACTCCCACCCCCGTTAAACCTTAATTTCCTATAGGGAAAACAACAAAGGTACTAGGGACTATATATAAAAAAATGTCAAAACACCCGAAATTCCTTTGGGAAAAACAAAAACGGTATTAGGGAATATTAAACTCCCACCCCCGTTAAACTTTACATGCAATTGGGAAGATCAACAAAGATATTAGGGAATATTAAACTCCCACCCCCGTTAAACTTCTACATTCACTGAAGATCTTCAATAAGGGTTTAATTCTCCCACCCCGTTACTTCTACATTCATTGAAGATCTTCAATAAGGGTTTACATCTCCCACCCCTTTTAAACTTCTACATTCATTGAAGATCTTCAATAAGGGTTTAATTCTCCCACCCCTTTTAAATGTTTTAAACTTCTACATTCATTGAAGATCTTCAATAAGGGTTTACATCTCCCACCCCCGTTAAACTTCTACATTCATCTAAGATCTCCAATAAGGGTTTAATTCTCCCACCCCCGTTAAACTTCTACATTCATTGAAGATCTCCAATAAGGGTTTAATTATCCCACCCCCGTTAAACTTCTACATTCATTGAAGATCGTCAATAAGGGTTTGATGATGTTGATGATGATGATGATGATGCTTCGCCCGTCGTCATTGCGGGTCCGGGCAAAACCCAGGCATTTGCCGATATATATATATATATATGATATATAATAATATATGATATGATATAATAATATATGATATGATATGATATGGTATGATATGATATGATATGGTATGGTATGATATGGTATGATATGATATGGTATGATATGATATGGTATGATATGATATGATATGGTATGATATGATATGATATGGTATGATATGATATGATATGGTATGATATGATATGGTATGATATGATATGGTATGATATGATATGATATGGTATGATATGATATGATATGGTATGATATGATATGATATGGTATGATATGATATGATATGGTATGATATGATATGATATGATATGGTATGATATCATATGATATGGTATGATATGATATGGTATGATATGATATGATATGATATGGTATGATATGATATGATATGGTATGATATGATATGGTATGATATGATATGATATGGTATGATATGATATGATATGATATGGTATGAAATGATATGATATGATATGGTATGATATGATATGATCTGATATGGTATGATATGATATGATATGGTATGATATGATATGGTATGATATGATATGATATGGTATGATATGATATGATATGGTATGATATGATATGATATGATATGGTATGATATGATATGATATGGTATGGTATGATATGATATGATATGGTATGATATGATATGGTATGGTATGATATGATATGATATGGTATGATATGATATGATATGATATGGTATGATATGATATGATATGGTATGATATGATATGATGTGATATGATATGATATGGTATGATATGATATGATATGGTATGATATGATATGGTATGATATGATATGATATATACATATATATATATATATCCTTGTGGATGTTGAACGTGCTGTGTGTTTCTTCGGTTCTTTTTTTCCGGTTGGCTCTTGATCTTCAGGACTCCAATCCCCCGACGTCCAGCTTCTTCAGGAAGATCCCCACCATCTGATGGGTGACACCGCCCCAGCCAAATGCAGGCGCCTGGCTGCAGCATTTCCCAGAAATCTCATGGAAATATGGCTATGAGTCATAACCCTGGTACCTAGTGAACCCCAAAATAGCTGGTAAATGGATGTTCATCCCATTAAAATTGATACTAATAGGTTTTGACCCATACCCATATGTCACTGTTGTCACTGTTCCATCCAGATCATCCCGTGCCCCCAATTCATGTGGCTTTCAGATCAGGGATGTAAATTCCCTGCACTTTTGGGATCATCCAATCTCTTTCCAATCTCCCCAGATCGCAGGGAAACCTTGAGATCTGGTTTCAGCATGACTTTGGTGCCCGGTCGCATTTCCTCTGTATCGACAAAGCTCAGGTCCTACAGAGACAGATGGTCTCTGATGGTCATGGTCGCCCTGCAGGCTGATTATCCATGGTGAGGATGAAGCATATGATGTTGGAATAATACCCTCTGGTTATGTCAAAATAGCTATCGAAAATGGCTATTTATAGTGGATTTTCCCATTAAAAATGGTGATTTTCCATAGTTATGTTAGTTTACCAGAGGGTATCTTGAATGATGTTGGATAGCGAAACCTGTTGGAGAAAAAGCTCGGGACCAAGTTGAGACTACAAATTTAAAGACATGCTGCGGAAGAATGTCTCCAGTGTCCTGTGCAATGCACCTGATTCGCTCAAAGGGGCCTCGGCAAATTGCCGAGCAAAACCGAAAGAAGTTCCAGTGCATCTATCATCATCTATTCAGTAAATGTCAGTGCCAGCTCTTCCAAGGTGAAGATTCATCGTATTTTCAAGCCACAGATTATCACAGATTGCTTCATTTCTTGCCAAAAATACTTTGACCATCCAATTTTCAGGCACAACCCACCCAGCTTGACCCACCCCAGCCGTTGGATCCAAGTGTTTCGGCCAGCGAAATTCACCATGACGTAGTTGCCATCCCTGGACATCACCTTCCCTCGCCGCCTCTGGAGCCGATTCACCGGCACCGGGCTGCTCTCCTGGCGTCACGGTGAACATCGGCTGAACACGGCAACGGGGGCCATGGGGACGATGCAATGGGGACGATGGCCTGCAGGAAAGGCCCCTGCGCCGTGGGAAGCACTTCCACCAAAGCATCAGGGACAAATTGGTCGTTGCAGCCCTGGCGGATCAGTCCAGTCCAGCAGTCCAGTGCTTTTCACGCCACATCGCCATATGACTCATAGCTTTTAGTTCCCATCATTATCCCCATCTCTGAGTCTCTGAGCTATGAATTATATGGGAACATCTAAGTTGATAATTATCCCGGATATCCCCATCTCTGTTGGTGATATCTCCAAGTGTTATACCAACCTGACTCATAGCTGTTGGTGATATCTCCAAGTGGTACTGTTGAAACTCCAGTCGTCGTTCCTGATGTTCATGGAGCTACTGACATTGGCCTCCAGATTGTTTCTTTCCCAGGTGGTCCAAAAGCGTCTCCACCTTAGCTTGCGAAATGTCAGCTGACACCAGTTTCATGGTTTGCTTCAGGCTATCCAATATTGTTGGACACCAACTTTGACCATTCTGATCATCATCCATCATATAGTAGCTATATGTAGCTATCATGTGTAGCATATTTTGGCCAGGGGTTTTACTCCGGATTTTGGGGGGAAGAAGCTGCAGACAAAATCTTTGAATCAAGACACTCCACCGAAAATATTTCACCCTCGGCAAGCTTCTCTCGAGACACCATCCACTGTAGAGACCTGCAGAAGCTGTTGTTCATTTTACTTGTAGCATTTTGCCAGGAATAGATGGGATGTGGGGGGGGGAAAAGATTCGAGCTACCCATTCTTTGAATTTGGGAAGTGGCTCAATTATGGATCCACAACAAATTTATCCGCACAGCAAGGCTGGGCCTTTGTTGTTCCGGTCTCAAAGGAAAGCTCCGGAAGTGCGGTGGTTGGTCAGCGGCCACCTAGGCTTGGCTGCGCTTGTTGCGTCTGTAGCATCTGGTAGAACATCTGTGTTCACAAGCAGCTTAGCTGCATATTGGAGTGACGGTTTTTATTTGGCTGAATGGAGAGTAGTATTGGGGCGTACCCCTGTTTGTCGAACACATCATAATGAGGCTGTAAAACGAGGTAGGAACACCGAGAGAACGAGGTAGGCATCGCATGCAAAGCATTTAGCTACTAAAAACAAGTGCGGCGTTGGAAAACGAGCTCAGACCAAAAAAAAAATACGGGACTGGAGAACGAGGTAGGAACACCTTGTCAATTGCGTTCCAAATAAATATTAATGTTTGTCATTGTTTGTCCGTTTTCGATTTCGGGAGATGCTGGTTGAAGGAATGACTTCTGTGTCGGCCCAAAACATTTTGCATGTCCTCAGGCGCCAACATCGCTGCCGTTGTCCAAGAGTTTGAAGGGTCGCTCTGGAACTGAACCTGTGAGGTCTTTGGGCGCCGGTCGCCTTATCCGGATCAAACTTGGCTGGGCAAAGCGGCGGTGAAATCGAACTAAATCTCACTGACATCTAAACCATATCTAGGTATCTAATGGTATCTAAACGGTCAAACACATCAAACACTTGGAAATTGGAAACCACTGGAAACCACTGGAAACCACTGGAAACCACTGCATCGAGGATGAGAAAGGTCTACCGACTTTGAGGTGGTGACGAGATCTCTTGCGGCTGTATGGGTCGTGCCCTCCAACTTAAAGTCATGGTGCTTGGAGGATATCGCACCTGGCAGGGGCCATGGAGTCTGGCCACCTGGCCGCCATGGCATGGACCATGACGCCATGACGCCATGACCTCTGACAGCATGGACGCGAAGAGTTCCGACAAGAGCTTCTTGTTGACCACCACGTGATGTTCTCGCAGATTGCAAAAGATTGATGCAAAACTGATGCAGAATTATGGAGAATTCTGGCATTGGCGTTTCATTTGAAATTCATCTGATTGCTCCAAAGATGTCCTCCCATGATCTTGAACATCTTGTCAAACTTATCTTGCTTCGGCCGCGCATTCACCTGGAGAAAAGTCAAAGTCATTTGAAAAAATAACAGATGCAAAGAATACGAGTTGCAAAGCCGCCAGCTTGGATGCTATCCAATGTGCCTCCGCTCCGCAATGCATTTCGCCACGGCTCTGACATGCCTTCCACATACTTGGACCCAGAGCAGAATTGCGAATTTCCCGGTCAAACCGAAGAAAATCATATCAGCAATTTAGAAATTGTGTCTTACCAAAGACTATACATGCCTGCCGTCCTAGACACACCACAGTTTGCGAAGCTTCGATGCCCAACCCTCAGACAGCACGGCAATTTGAACTGCCTTTGGAACGTCGCTTTGGCCCAGTTGCAAGCAAGGCGGGTCCTGGCTTTGGTCCATCGTTAGCTGAAAGCAACGGCTCTATTTCTGTGGAATATCCATACATTACATGGCTTAACATGAACTTATGTTGACTATATACAGTTCTGTTATGATGTTATATCAGTTATTAATGTAGCTTATGTTTGTCAACAGACCTTCCAGTCAATCCACAACAGCTCCAGTCGGCTCCTTCCCCAGAACCTCCTTGGCCCAAGCAACAGCACCCAGGTTCAAGTCCACCTTCTTCCATGCGTCCTGCAACTTGGGCTCTCATCTTTTGGTGGGGAACCCCCAAATTGTTGGGCGTGTGAACGAACTCATGATAAAATCCATGAAAATCCCAAATGCGCACAGTTGTGATGACTCTCCAATTTCGGGTGGCGAAGGCACTATACGCAGTCCTTGTGCGCTATCTCCCAACCTTTGCCCAGTCGGTCAAACTCAGCCTGCCAAAAATGGACGAGCATGGGAAAACAGGCCCTGTGCACATCTGCGAATTCCAGAGGAATTGAAGCGGGTGAATACAAACGATACAAACGATAAAGGAATATCAAAGATATATTATCTGGTTGGTGGTATACCTACCCCTCTGAAAAATATGAGTTCGTCAGTTGGGATTATTATTCCCAACTGAATGGAAAGTCATAAAATTCCATGGTTCCAAACCACCAACCAGTTATGATATATGTCGGAATCCCCATCTTTTTCAGACCCACACTGTTACACACCATCGCCTCGCCTTGACGTTCTCCGGAATGGGATGGTCGTTCTCCTCTCAAAAATCGGTCGATTCAGGTGGGGGTTGACTGGTTCGGTTGACGAGTTCAAGATGATCAAATGATATTAAATGCTACTAAATGATATTAAATGATATTAAATGCCTTTTTTGCCGGTGACCAAGATAACCAAGATATATATATACAGTAATGAAAAGCTGATGCAACATATCCATCGGAGCTCAAGCAATTTCAGCGCCAGATCCACTGCCTCCTGCTCTTCGGACCGCTCAGGGAGGGGCCTGGAAGCCGCAGGGAGGGCCTGCAGCGAAACTGCTCGGGAAGCATCAGTAACCCCAATATCATCCAATATCTCCCCAATTTCCATGAGTTGACTTGCGTTGACGAGATGGCCTCGCTCTCACTGGCCGGCAGGGTCTCTTGAGAGCCTCCTGTCGTTGGGGATCACCAACAACCAGGTCGCTGTGCCATGAAAGAAATGAAACTTGGATAGAGAAGAATTGCCTTGAGCTGGTTGCTTGAGTGACCCATCTCAGGATATTGAAAGGCACTTCATGACTTCATGGAAAAACTATATGAAAAACTCATAGAAATTCTCCATGAAAATCCGTCACATCTTGAGCAGTGGATTGCCACAGCCTGCAGGCAACTTCTGATCCGAAGACTTGCGACTCTTTGCTTTGGAACCTGTGCCAAGTTGGGCAGCTCTAGCAGTTAAAATCCCGTTGGTTTAGACTTTTTCAACATTCTGTCTTTTTCTGGGATATGATATACCCCAGCTACTCCAGTAGAGCTTCACTGTTGCAAGAAACATCATGACATCTGCTTCTGCTTTCATTATCTTTCAGTTTGTTGGGGGGTTGAGATTGGTCTACCTGAGTCTACCTCGTGGGCCCATTCTTTGAACGTTCAGAAGCTGCCTTTCTCGTTCCGCTTCTCTTTCGGCGGACGCGCCCTCTTCTTGGAACTGGAAGCACCACCGGGGGCAGCAGCACCACTGGGAGCAGCACCGCCGGGAGCAGCACCTGATCCGAATCACCAACAACTGGGATCCATGAGGTCGTCAGGAATCTCTTTAACCGGTCTCAAGCCACAAAGTTCCCTCACCATCCTAAGCCATTCCGAAACCAAATCAGACATGTTGGTTTGTCCATGTTTGTCCTGTTTGTCCTTTCACCGAGCCACCGCCTGATCCAGAATCGTCTCCATCGATGTCAATCACACCCTGCGCGTCGTCGAAATGGCCCGAGAAGAGCCGACAGATGGCCATCTCCACGTTGCCGTGCGACTGGCGTAAGGCCTGACCATCTCAAAAGCGGACGTTGAACCCGCTGGTTTCTATACATGATGCGGGTTCTACAAAAGATCACAACCAATCACTCCCACCAGTGTTTGAGGAAACACCCGCTTTGGCCTTTCGTGCAGCATCTTCTGAAAGGCCAGATCCCTCAGAGAACAGGAATGAACATGAATGAACAAGGTAATCCTAAGGTAATCGAAGATTCTGGACTCATCGAAACACCACACTCGGACCATGGCAAAGATTCTTTTGTAAAAATCCCAATAGGAAGGGCACTTGCCCGGTGCAAAATATGTTGATCCCTGCACCAATTTTCAAATGACCCAATGGTAAATAATTCCTAATGTGTTCCTATATAACGTTCATATATTATTAATATTATATTATAACTTTTGTAACCAACAGCGCCCCTCAGGCAAGAGATTCGAAAAGAGATAAAAGAGCACCTGTGGCTGGAAAAACATTGTATTGGCTGTAAGAACCAAGTTGACTTGTGAATCCTGAAAAATCAGGCTAAAGAAACAGGTAAGCATGACCTTATGGAAACATATTATCGGAAACCCACTGCCTCCAGCAAGGAGAGAAGGTTCGCGAGTGCTACGTCATCATCCATGTGATCGCAGGGGTGGACAGCTATGCACGGAAAAACCGGCTTCAGAAAAAGTCGAAATGAGTTTTTCATCGTTTTTCCATCAGTTTCAAGCTGCTTTTGGCACGCAGCCCTGACATCTGAATCGGGGTCTTTGAAGGTGCTCCGATGTGTGTGTGTGTGCTATGTTTCATTAGCGGAGCGAATTTGCTCCCACAGAGCTGAAATGGAGGCGACAATTTTTCAGAACCTAGTTGTGAACAGCAAGCAGCCGTAGACACCGTTCTGTAAAACCTGTGGCTTTTCGATCAGAATATGACATGAATATGACATGAAGATGCTCAAGGAATAACGATGCTGTTTGCTGAGCTGTTTTCTCCGCAGACCGCCCGCTTCGGCTGCCTCGTATGCTGCCCAATTCCCTGGGAATTGGGAGCAGCGATCCACTCCACAACTTCTGCAGAGTTTCCGCTCGACCAAAACCTTTCCCCATGTCGCATCATGTCGTCAAACATTCGTTGAAAGATGTGGAAAGCTTTTTTGTGACCAAAGAAGTTCTGTGCTTCCCGTGTCAAACGAATGAAGTGGTCACTACGCCCCATGTTTCATGTTTTGATGTCACAAGCTATAAATCTCAACAGTTTCCAAGATGGCTGTGTTGCTTCAGATCTGGTTCAGATCGGTGTTTTGCCAAACAGACCCGCTGTTTCAACCGATCCCAATCTAACCCTGCTGTTCATCTTGCGGATCTGGTGCGATCCTCACCAAATCGTCAATGCGAAGGATGGTGATGGCAGCCTGTGGAAACTTGGCACATCGTGGGTAACACCAGGTGGTACCCATAATGGGTCTGTTCAAATATGGATGCAAAGCAACACTGGTTATCACTGCTTCAGATTGCAAAGGTCTTCAGATTGCAGAATTTTGAAGGCACCCAGAAGAATTTGGCGGTGTCGATTCACTCTAAAAGCAATCGAGACCTGTATCTTTCGGGGTCTTCCAGCATCAGTCCATATACACATCTAATCTGAATAACTCTTCAGATTCTCCGTCGACTGTTAGGTCAGGTTTACAGTAGGTCTCCACATTTCAATCCGACCAACTCCAACGATCACAAAATCACCAATTTTGGGAAAGAAAGTCACTGCAGAGCCTCTGTGGCAAACTTCAAAGACTTCAATTTGGAGACCATTGGCTCCAACACGCCATTGGAGATCTGAAAAAAGGACACTGTGAAGTGAATTCCAGCTGGCAGAAAGATGTGACACATCAGAGGCTACTGAAACACAACTTCTGCGCAACGCCGAAGAACGACTGAAACACATCTGCAAAACCAGGAACTTCCAAAATCGCACCTGGTTTCGCACAGTGCCATTGGTCAAGTCTAGGCCGTACCATCTGTAGTCTTTCTTCTTTGGGTCCTGCGACCACCAAGCTGATCAAGCTGCAGGAGTGATTTTTCATCAACACAGAAATCAACACAGCTCCTGCTGCGACGCATGGTGTCTCACCTGCATGGCAGGCATGGCAACATCACGGTTTCGGGCACTTCGGCGATGCAAATCACGTGTTCATCGCCGATGTTTCGCATATTTTCGCATGTTGTATGGGGATTTGCATCGATCTTTGAGTTCTTTTTGAACATCAGAGTTTCACATCCATTGACTTCTCAGGTGACACCCATGGTCCCATAGTCCCATGGTAAAAACGGCGCACCCTAAGAGCCGCCAGCAGATCAATGGCATCCAAGGCAGCATTGATGGCCAGGGTCTTTGGGATGGTGAGGAGGGCCTCAAGCTGCGACGCATTGCAGGAGATTGCATGAGATTGCTGCGACTCCCATTTTGCTACGACTGTTCTTGGAGGTTTTTAGTTCCCTCAAGTCGTGCCAAACCTATTTTTTTCATCTTTGTTTCTTTCCATGCGGCCTTCCCATGCCTTCCCACCTTTTGCTCCGTTTGCTCCTTTTGCTGCACTTAAGAATTCAACTCTTTGCCAGTTGCCTCGGCAAACTCGGCGATGGCCCATTGCTCATAGGAGTCAAAGGTGCGAGCATGGTCCTTCCATAACCCGGGTGAAATCTGCAAGAAGCAAAAGGTCAACAACACGGCGTCCATTGGGAAACCATCCGGATCCAAATCCATTTCCACTCATCATTCATCATCACCATTCATCACCATCCCGATGTACAGCCTATAGGACCCTCCTATAGGACCGTCCTACCATCCACGGCTGGACACCAGTTCCGGCTTTTCGGGTCCTCCAGGTGCAAGCTGAGTGCGGTTTCCACTGCACCGCCCCCAGGGACCACTGCATTGGACTCCAAGGTGCGACTCACGGCGCAAAGCGCGTCGTGCACCTTGCCGCAACCGGGTGAAATCAATGGAGAGTTGCTGAAGGTTTCTCAGGGACTCTCACATCATGTCATCATGTAGCTGGAGTGAAATCAAAAATGGATAAAAATGGCTCATGGAATGTTTTTGGTAAATAGTTTCTTGATGTTTCTTTCACCTTGTAACTGGAACTGGCATCCGAGGAGTGAAATCAGCAAACATCCTGATGACCATTGATGACCCAAATCCGCCAAGCCGCCGATCGGGACGCTTCTTCCAGCATGAATTCATTGGCACCTCTGATCAGGATGCTGCACGCCTCACAACGCCAAATTCAACAAAGTCGGTCACAAAAACATCATGCGAATGTTCAAAAAATTCAGATCATCCAAATAGATCCACATAGATCCAAATCGTCTCGTTGATTCAACGTTGATTCAATGTCGATTGATTCGATTGATTTGATGTTTACAGATGTTTACAGTATCTATGTGATATCTGTGTGATATCTATGTGATATCTATGTTGATTCACCGTCGCGCAGGGTGCACATCGGTGCACCTTGCTGGCGGTGCAGCCCTTGATGAAGACGAAGTCGTTGTCTCCGACGCGTTCGTTCACCACCTCCTCGGCCGTGCCCATGTAGCTGGGATCGAAGGCCTCCTCGCCTTCATCCGTGGCCATGGTGAGAAGCACCTGCCATGGGCCATCCATGGGCCATGGGCCATGGGCCATGGCATAGCATGCTGGTGGCAGATGGAAAGGCCCCATGATGGGGCCAGGGATGTCAGGATGTCAGGAATGATGTATGATGATTTGATGTTTGAAATTATGTCAATCATGTCGAAATAGCATGAAATAGCTTCGACTTGTATGTTTGAACGGAGTGGTAACCAAAAGGAAAAGGCGAACTCACGAGCCAAATAATATCAAATGTTGTAACTTTGGGCCAGGCTGAACCTCACATCTCAACAGATCCCGCGACACTTGGCACCTGGGCACCAGTGACCTTGGCGATTCGCTTGATGTCCTTCTTGTCGACACGTCGAACGCCCAGAACACCAGCCTCTCAAAACAGGCTGCCCAAAACCCCAAAACTCGCAAGGTTGCAACTTCAGGAAGTACATGCAGCTCGTATAAGCTCGTATAAGCTCGTAAGTGCCGGAAAATATGAACTGCCTTTGTGAAAACATGTGAAAACCATGTGCCCATATGCAATATCAGCTCCAACTCACGGAAAGTCTGTTTTCTGAAGTTCCTTTGGTCATCGCAGCGGAAAACGCTGCGACTTTTCTCACCCAAAGCGTTCAAGGCGTTTCTGTCGTAGCTCATCTGCTGAGGCCTCAGATCCGACACGTCAACGCTGATCGTCGCTGATCGTCGCTGAGCGATTTCGCTGAGGATCCTACTTGGCTTCGAGCGCCAGCGCCGCCCCTCAGCCGGGACTGAAAGATCAAAGTGTTGAAACTGGATAAACAGTGGATAAACTGGCTTGCCCATTGCTCCAAATGGAGAGGAGCTCCAAATGGAGAGGATCCAGTGAAACCTGGAGATCCTGGAGAATGTGACGGCTGCGTGGCCGTTGCATGTTTCGAAAGGGAAAGCCAGTCTGCTGGGCGGACTTTTCCTGTCCAAGGAGCAGTGTACGTCCAGGTGATTCCATGTCCTTGGAGAAGCCAAGGGTGTCAGCACCTAAAGGGCCTAAAGGGTTGGGGTCTTTGTGGACCAATTTGGGGACCCCCAAAAAAACCACACGACTCCAAATCATTTGGAAAATAGGTCATCTTGAGACTTCAAGAACCCAAAAAAAATCTCAAACCTTGACAGCAATTTCACCGAGCCACTGAGATGGAGCTCTTCTTTGGAGATGCTGAACCTCTGTACATCTTGGCATCAAACGTGCAGCCAGACTTTGAGATTTCACAGAAATCCTCGCTGGGCCCTGGACCCATTCGTGGACCCGACCTCAGCTTTTGTCTTTCAGGGAAGATTTCTACCAAAGAAATCTATCAAATAAATACCATATCAGTATATATCAGTGTATCAGGATTATCAGGATCCACTATCCAATATGATCGAAGAAAACCGATATCATCTGATATCATCTGATATCCATTGAATCATTCAATGGATCTTCCAACGATGCTTCAAGGTGAACGTCTGGGTTCCCCTGGCAGTTTGGCATTGGTCCACCAAGGCTCTTCAGACTGAGGTTCCCGGGGTTCCCTGGGTGGCACCACTATCTCTGGCGCCTGGTGAGCGTGTCCAAAGGGGGATACTTCCATTCGGTGGCCAATCTTGATGAAAACCAAAGGATTGGGGTTTTCACCGCAGTCCAGACATGTCCAGACCAAACAGGAACAACAAGCACATAAACTGTCAGCATCAAGAAAAGCTCCATCTGACATCGCTTCCCCATTCTGACCCAGTCGAATGAGCTCAGACGTTACCAGATGTCGGGCACCTCTGGGCCTGTGTTCCAGCATGCTTGGCCCATGGCAGAAACCCTGCCTTTGGCGAAATGCTTTCAGATTCGATCGAGATCGAGATCGTGGAAGTAGACATCCCGACATCCCCTATGTTCAAAAGGATTTTCCTTGCATTTCATAGGCTATTTCAGCTAAGGCGGTTATTTGTTGGAGCGAAGACTCAAAATACTCCAAAGTCAAACAAGTCTATTGTTAAATCTCATTGTCAACGGCCTCCTCTGTATAGACACACCAGTTGGTAGGTGGGAAAAAAAAAAACTACAGTATTCCGTTTCTGATCTTACCCACCTACTTCTGCCCATCATCTGCTCGAGCCCAAAGACACTTCCGAGATCAAACAACATGCAGTCCCCGCTGGTGCCAGAACAGGAAAAAACAGGAAAGTCATCGCCTCCACTAGGTACTTCATCGCGAAGTCATCAATCCCTTTAGTGGTGAAGATGGCATTGACCCCGGCATCCAAAATTTTCTGGATCTTCTCCTGGGTCGCAGCCACAACTTCGAGGGGAAGAATCCAAGTGCCACTTTGGTCCAAACAGTCCAAATGCTCTGATCTCTAACCATAGACAATACTCAAGCTATAATGTAATTATATCCACCTATATCATCTATGTGTTTCCACTTTCAATGAACATATAGCCTAAAATAGCTATCATCAACACCATCCGACATCATCCGACGCATCTCCGACCTTAGTGATGTCCATCTCCTTCTGCCGGACCCGTTCCAACTCTTCGGGGTCGTCGATGACGATGTTCACGTTCATCGACATGCGGTGCTTCTTGAGGTCAAAATCCAGCAGCGCCTCATAGGATCCAAATGGGCTGGGGCTTGCCATAAGCCAGGCCAGAAAAATGGGGCTTTCCATAGACATGGCTGTACCTCAAAATGGATGGTTTATAGGATTTATATGGATTTTATTGTGGAAAGATCCATTAGGATGGATGATTGGGGGTACCCCAATGACTTAGGAAACCACCAAATGGGAACCAAATCATCCAATTTTGCCGGTGGGACACACAGTTGCCTGCCCTTTGAGGTTCGGGCAATCTTGGCGGGAGAAACCCAAGCTGGCATTTCCTGCGGTGTGTTTTTTTCATAGTTCAACCATGTTTGACCAACTCCAATGAAAACAACCGACGCATATGTGCTATGGTCAAAATATAATGGCAATCCTGAAAAAAAAATGTATATTATATTATATTATATTATATATTATATTATATATTATATCATATCATATATTATATCATATATTATATAATATATTATATTATATATTACATTATATATTATATTATATTATATTATATTATATTATATTATATATTATATATTATATTATATATTATATCATATCATATATTATATCATATATTATATCATATATTATATTATATATTACATTATATTATATTATATTATATTATATTATATTATATATTATATTATATATTATATCATATCATATATTATATCATATATTATATTATATATTATATTATATATTACATTATATATTATATTATATTATATTATATTATTTATTATATCATATATTATATATTATATCATATCATATATTATATCATATATTATATCATATATTATATCATATATTATATCATATATTATATAATATATTATATTATATATTACATTATATATTATATTATATTATATTATATTATATTATATACATCCTTAATCATCCTTATACAAATAGATTGACGACCATACCCCAAGGACTGGCTTAATCCAATCCAACTATAACTTTTGTAACTAGTACTAACTTGACCGTTCCACATATACAAAAGCACCATTTTTTCGATAAATTCAGCCGTCTGTCCTGTGAAGCCCTCATGATCTGCATGGCGTATCCATTTGGGATGAGGATTGACTCGTGGCTACTCTGGCCGTGCGACTTCAGGACGTTGATCTGAGCCGTGGAGAAACTCGGAAGCTGATTGGAAGCCCAAACGCTTTCGGTGTTGGAAACGTGTTGAAACATCGCATTTCCATATCCACAAAAATGATCTAAAATGTCGGGTCCATTCTGATAGACTTCTTCATGTTTCAATATGTTCCAATATGTTCCACCCATTGTTCTTGTGTGTCCCAAATTTCATGGGTCAACATGGGTCAACATGGGTCATCACCGATGATCGATTACCGCCTGATTCACCGGGTACTTCGCCTTCCCCTGAAGGTTCACCATCTGGCCGATGCTCCGATGACTCCGATACTGCCCAAAGATCTGTATGCTTTCCCTACCCTCTGGTTATGTTAAAATAGCTATTGAAAATGGTCATTTATAGTGGATTTTCATGGATTTTCCCATTAAAAATGGTGATTTTCAATCATCATGACATGGTGTATGGCTTGGAGTCATGGAAACACTAGCCATACGGCTTCGGAACCGATCCCTTCAGCTACCAATGCTGTGCTGCGGCACGCTGTGCGCACCTTGACGGCCTTCACCGCATCGACGATGATCTGACAAAATACCGCCTCACGTTCGTCAAAATGGCCAGATACCCTCTGGTAAACTAACATAGCTATGGAAAATCACCATTTTCAATGGGAAAACTCACTATAGATGGCCATTTTCAATAGCTATGTTAGTTTACCAGAGGGTAATCCGAAAACTTCTGAGATTCTCGGCAAATCAAACATGGCAGTGGATTTCCTCATGTTCTTTTCGTTAGATCTAGGGAACAAATTGAAGACGTGCAACACCTATTGACCTAAAGTATCAGGGTGACATTGTGCCATATTGTTTTTTTTTACGTTGCGACAGTTGCGACCTTCAAAAAGCTGGGATGGACCATGATGGACCGAGGCGGACGCAGTTGGTCATGTTTACTAAACAGTTTACCATCCGAATTTCAGAGATATCTTGAGCTGATATCCCCATGATATCCCAATGAGATCCCCATGATTTTGAGCCAATAAACTGTCGGTCATGGCATCACATGGCATCTGTCTCCCTAAGTCTGAGCGTCTGGCGCTCTCAGATCCAATAAACTTGGAAGACAACGATGTCTTGGCGATGTTCGTCAAGGTGTCCTGGCTGCCGTTGCAGTGCCGGGCTTTGATATGTTGCCTGGATCTGAAGAGAATGCTATGATTGATATGGTGATTGATTATTGATGATGGATATAGGATACAGTATGTGATTACCGATGATTACTGATGATTACTGATGATTACAGTACCGATGATTGATTATTGATTGTGATGATTCATCATTTATCTGACCTCTCCATATGAAATTCAAAAAAAAAGAGATTCGCACCTGCTCAAGAGCATCAACCTTCTGGCTCAGATTCTCCTGGCGAAGCAAACTGTGAAGCCAAAAACACCTGGCATCTACCGGTCACCTGGCCTGAATGTACTTGATGGACTCTCGCATCGCCAGTCTGTATCCAGCAATGATGGTCTCAGAGTTTGAAGACTGGGAATCTATGGGAAAACGAACTGTTGACATGTCATCTACTGAGACACGGTTGAAATATGTTGAAATGCTGATTGGGATCCGGACCGTTGGATGGATGTTGTTCTTCACAAGCTCATTGGCTCGTTTCAACCTCGGGAAATGTGTCATCCGTGGATTGCGATGCGGACAATCACTGGCTCAGATAGGGCCCATGCAATTCCGCTGCGATGATCACGACCGAAGTGGTTCCATCACCCACTTCAGTGTCCTTCACGCCCAACGGAACAAAACAAAGGTAGGAAATGACATGAAATGACATGAAATGACATGAAATGACATGAAATGACATGAAATGACTAGTGTCCAAGTCCAATGGCAGGATGGAGTGCTCATACTTCAAAGGCTCAGAATCACATAGAATTACATGGTTATCATGGTTCATTCCGGTTTGTCGAATATGTCGAATTTACCTTTCTGTTCCGGCAGATTTCCAATCTCTCGGATTTGACTTGCTGAAGATATGTACAGTTCGGTCGTGACAGAAATAAGACTGGTGTATCTGCTATACTTCATCAAAAATCGGTCGTGACACGGTACCTCCAGAAACAAAGCTACAACTCAAATATATCAAACATCATCATTATCGTCACTATTACTGTTAATCATCATTTATATTCATTTATGATGTTGCCATATTTTACCATGTAAAAAGCATCAGTCATCCGCATGACTGGTGTCCTGGAGATTGGCCAATTCTACCAGCACCTTGGCTGCTGGATGTTCCACCTCCAATTGCTTCAAGATGGTGGCACCATCGTTGGTGATGGTCACATCCCCAATGTCATCCACCAACATCTTGTCCAAACCTCGGATCTGGATCTGAGATTCATCTGCTTCAGATTGCGAAAAGGCTTCCAAACATGACCCCAAAAAAAACGATTTGATTCCTGATCTTTTAGATTCCCCTAAGCAGTAGCAGCAGGTTTCTGTCCTTTTTTTACAACAAAAACAGAAGTCCCAGAAGTCCTCAGCCACGGAAACCTTGCGGTCCAAGGGATGACTTCAGGATGTTGGCCAAGGCCTCGGTCGGACCACAGCTCGTCATGCTCGGATGGTCACCCGCAGATCGCCGCAGCACCCGGGGCACCCGGACCATGACGGCCGTCACGTTGGCCGACCGCACATCTGCGCCACTTTCGCGCTGGCCTGAGCATTGAACTGAGCATTGCGGAGCCGTGCAACTAAAGTTTGAAACATGCTGGGCTACAGTTGAATCAAGATGAATCAACTAATTCGGAATGTAATTCTGATCTCAAGTTGAAAGCGTTTTGAAGCTGTTTTAAGAAGCGGTGTTTAGCCTTTTGAGAATTTGACACTGACCCAACACGGCGCCTGCAATTGTCAGCCCCAACTCGGATGCCATGCTGCGCCCCTGAGTTAAAGCACTTAATTTGCTAAGTGCCTGTGGAGTGCCCTGAGCCGAGCAAAGGTGACAGCAACGATGACAGGATGAAGGCATCTGATTTGATCCTGGCTGTACAGAGTGTGTCGAACTTGTAGAACTGATTTTTTCGGCTAGTGTTAACTTCACAATCTTCACACTGCAGTAGGTTGTGCTGTTGCAATTTCTTTTCACTTCAGCCCTGAAGAAATGTGTTGAACTGCTTTGCAGTTCGTCCGGTGGTCATGACAAGAAAAAAACGCCAACTGGCAACTGAAACTGCGGGAGTGAGGTCACACTCGCTGAAGTCACGGATAAACCTTGGTAAACCTTACAACCTCCCATTCGGGATCGGTGAAATGCAGCCGCGGCATGCCTTGTGACAGATCGATTCTGACAATTCCAACACAGCCAGATTCTGTCATCTGGAATACCACGTGGAAGCCTTTGCAGCCACCAAGCAAGGGCATGGTTTTCGGGAGTGCTTCCGGCACTGTTTCTTCAGTCACACAGTCACACCCACAAATGCCGTGTAAAAGCTTTCAAGTTGTTCATTCCACTCAAACCAACTGCAGACGAGTTGCCTCAACAAGGACCCTCAAAAGATGTAGGCCATAACATTCTGCTTGGAACGTTGCAAGCTCCGTTCCATGCGCATCCTTGACGGCTGTAGGATGTCGGCCACAGTTCGGAATGGCCCATTTCACACTGATACAATCTACGGATGCCATACCCCTGTTCAAATCCAATGAACGGAAGAAACTGAGTCCCAACAATAGATGTAACATCTTCAACATACATTGATTATCATTGATTCAAAATGGCTTTCCACATTGATTCGCCATTGATTCAACATTGATTCAACTGGAGAGTTTATTTCCAAGGGGCTGTTGTTCTCTGAGAGACTCCAGGATCTCTGACTCTCTTCGGTGATCTACCAGCTGGCCTGAACAGATTCAACACCAAACCCGACAAAGAAAGCCTCCCAGATTCTGGGGGTACCATGAGGTACCTAGAGATACCTGGAGTATCTTCCCCAACATCGGCTGCAGCCGCTAGATAGATTAGATAGTAGTTTCTCTAGCCCACCTTCAGCCATGAAATTTGGGACTGGGGACTGGGCCTGAAATGATCTGATAGCTTTCCTTCGTCAAGAGCACAGTGACACCATTCAAATGCCTTGGCCACCCGCTGATTCACCATGGCACCATGCTCCGTCAATGGTCCGTCAATGGTCAGAAAACCTCCTGAATCGGTGGTCAAGGCACTTCACAATGCGTGCTCGCTCCAAGCATTGTCCTGAGACCAAAAAAAGGGCTGCTGAGAAATCACTCAAGAAACGCTGACGGAGTCTGCTGATGTGACCGGCATGAAAAAAAGATGGACGGATTGTGGTTACCCTCTGGTTATGACTAACAGTTCGCCATGGTATAGATGGCCCATAGAAATCGATGGTTTACCTATCAAAAATGGGTGGATTTTCCTATGAAAAATCACCAAATGCTACGCGTTTCAGAACCATCCGCTGGCGCAGCTGGCGAGCGGCTCAGCATCCGCAAATCCTCCACTTCCGTGGCCACCCCGGCCAGGGAGAAGATATCCACATTCACAGTGGATCCAGTGAAGTGAGTGAGGCACCTCGGCAACGAAGTGATTCTCATGGATACAGTAGATAAAAACCATGATAATATGATGGATATCTGATGGAATATTATCATCATATTCCATCAGTATATCCATCATATTATCATGGTTAATATGATGGATATCTGATGCATATCTGATGGATACATCCTGAAACATCCTGATGCATCGATAAGAAACAATAAATCGAAATCGAATCCGAAGCGTTCGCGAAGCATAGCTATGGCTATCCCATTAAGTTGCTGTCAGGGCTTTCACACCAAGTGGCCGATGATTCAGGAGGGTCTCGTAGAGCTCCACCAGGAAAACCAAGGCGTTTTTCAGACCCAGATCGGTGTTACTCACCGCATTGGACAGAAAGAGTGGAAGATATTGAAAGAGGAAGGCCTTCTGCAGATGCCCATCCAAAAGGAAGATCTCATACAAGGCATCCTGATTTCATGTGACGAGACTGTGCCTTTTTTTTGAAAACACGTCCAACCCTGCTCAGCTACCGTGCCGGCAAGTGTCGCGTTGTCGATCCGAAAGGCTATTCCAATCTTTCTGAATTGATCGCAACTGATTTGGCTCCACTGCTCCTTTGTCTCAAGGCTAAGAGCAGCTTGCAGGAAAGCCAGGAACAAAGTTTGACGCAAGTAACTGCATGTATAACTACTATGTGATATGTACTACATTGTACTACTACATTTTGATGTCATATGATGCAAGAAGGAAACACTTGAACATCTAAAAATGTTTCTGAATGTGTGACTGGTGAAGGAAGTGGTCACTGCTTCACGGTGCCAAGAATCGTGTGAGACAGGCCAGACGCGCCAACGCCAAATGTCCGGGCTGTTGGACTTTCAGCTGCAAAGCTTCTGGCGCGAAGGAAACAACAGCAGCAGATTCTGACAGGGGTCCTCGAGAAGAACTAAGACTGTGACTAGATGGTGACTAGATGCGCTATACATACATACATTACATTACATTACATTACATTACATTACATTACATTACATTACATAGATACATAGATACATAGATACATAGATACATAGATACATAGATACATACATACATACATACATACATTACATACATTACATACATTACATACATTACATACATTACATACATTACATACATTACATACATTACATACATTACATTACATTACATTACATTACATTACATTACATTACATTACATTACATTACATTACATTACATTACATACATTACATGCATTACATACATTACATTCATTACATACATTACAGATATTACATACATTACATACATTACATACATTACATACATTACATTACATTACATTACGTTACGTTACGTTACGTTACATTACATTACATTACATACATACATTACATACATATATATATATTATGTATATATACATGGTTCTCTTGGAGTTCTACATATTTCTCCAGTGCTTACTGTGCTCCAACTCATCCACGGGACGTGATCTGCCTGCACGTTCCACCATGTAGTTCCAGTAGACCGCTTGCGCCGAAGGTTTTGGACCGGAGCCATCCGAAGCCTCAGAAATTTGGGGATCCATAAAAGGACTTCGAGGTGTTCTTCTGGGCTATTCTGGGTATCAAAACACTAAGAAACTGATCCTAATCAGACAAGTTGCAAGAATGCTTTGGAGGCACTGCAGGGTCTTTAAGACGGAGCGGCCATTCATTTCGTTCAGAAACAATGAGCCCTTCACAGTGACAGCCCCTGTAACCTCAAAAATGAGAAGCGAAGAAATGCCCCGGATCAGTCAAGTAAAAATGGGGATCGATCCGTCATGAAATTAGGGACGCATTTGAAAAAGACACTGAAGATACTGAAGATTTGATATCTGAGCAGTATCAATCCCAAAAAAAAGGATGGATGGTCCCGGCTACAGAAAGTGACCGCTCCGTAACTGCGAAAACCGAAAAATTCATTTTAGCTGAGAATCTCCACAAAGGACACAAACTTGTGTCAGAAGGAACATCCTGACATTGAGACATTGCTGAACATGGACAAAAAAACAGCTCGGCTGCTCAGCTCTGTAGCACAGGAAACCCATGGAAACCCCACATCCACTTGCGAATGACAATCTGATAAACATTGCAGTGAAGAGTACCTGCATCCACAATGACATTGTAAAGAAACAATAAAAATCAAATCATCAGTAGATCGCAACATATTTTTTCTTCAATTCTCATTTGCCAACAGATCTGTGGACCATAGTGAAGCATGGTGAACCGTGGCAATGCCGCCAAGTCGCTTAAAGATCACAGGATCTTCCACTTTCATGACACTTTGCAACATCCATACCTAAATGCAGGTGCCATGCCCCATCATGCGTTGCTGTGAACCATGCTAGCCCCGTCAACATCTGTCAACTAAGGTTGCAGCGGAGTGTGGGTTGTTTTCAGCTTGGAGGAACTGTGGAAAACTGAATTGTCCAAGCATGCGCACCTTGGACATGCTGGTGATGGAAGGAAAAACGTGGACGGCAAAGCAAGGCAATTTCCCTTGCAGCGCGCACTCCAAAATATCTCAAAATCGGCGATGGGTGTGGTGTCACTCTGATATCCTCATGAGTATCTTCTAAGTAGAGAGATCTGAATAAAGCATCTGGATACTGCATATACTGTTTTCAACACACTTTATCATACTTAATCCCCAGGTCCAAGCAGGTCCGAGCAACTGTTGAAGCCACGTAGTTCGAGCCCTCTGGTGGCAGCGATGCCAGAGATGGAAGATACATCTGCAGTTCGTTCACTGCGTAAGACAGGACCTCGGCTGCAGGTCTTCCATGGTGTCACTTGATCTTGATGTCACTTGGGTCCAAAAAAACTGGATCCCAAGAATCAATCCACGAACATCTCATGAAAATGATGGGGTTCGGGTTCAGTGAGGGAAGTTGGCGATGTTGTGCGCACGCTATCGAGGAGTTTCCCATGGCTGAGGAGATGACGGTTTCAGGCGATCGACGTTCGCTGGGTGGGCACAACTTGGCAAACTCCGAGTTTTTGCTCAGGCCGCCTGAGTCATAGGTAGCGGCATGCGGCGGATAGTCAACTGGATCTTGTGGTGATCTTCCAGCGATTTGGAAAAATTGGACAATTGAGGTCCCTGCGAAGTCCCAGCAACACGACGAGTGCTGCCAACTGCGGTTCGGTGAAATCAACACAAACAAGCTCCTGGCTGGCATGATACACAGATGGCAACGGGTCCCAAACGGTATCAAGTTGTTTGTTATCCGTCTCTTATTCAATATACAAACATATGTCGACGGACACATTGAATGGTTTTCCCATGAACGCGATAAAGATCACACATCCGGCTCTTAGCAAACTCAGGTGGCACGAGTGGCACCCTCATCTCACTTTTTACCCGGCGCTATAATCAAACAAAGGAAGCGCATCTCAAAGTCAAAAATAAAAGCCATCAAAAGTCAAAACTACAAAAACTAGTACTGCTAGAGTATAGATATTCAACTAGATATTCAAGTCACCACTCAAATTTTGATAAATTTTGATCTCCGCAGATCTGCCTGGATAGCCGTCCAAGTACTGCGAGACAACTTTGCCTCCCCTTTTTGACACGCCACCATCTGCTCGTAGTCGTCCTGCCCAGCTGATCCAATAGATGCGCCAAGTTCCCAGGTGGCCGAGGTGGTTCCCACCTGGTTCCCAGATGGTTCCCAAGTGGTTCGCAAGTGGTTCCCAGGTGGTTCCCAGGTGGTTCCCAGGTGGTTCCCAGGTGGTTCCCCAGGTGGCTCCCAGCTGGGTGGTTCCCAGGTGGTTCGCGGTTTTTAGGTGGTTCCCAGCTGGTTCCCAGGTGGTTCCCAGGTGGTTCCCAGGTGGTTCCCAGGTTCCCAGGTGGTTCCCAGGTGGTTCCCCAGGTGGTTCCCCAGGTGGCTCCCAGCTGGGTGGTTCCCAGGTGGTTCGCGGTTTTTAGGTGGTTCCCAGGTGGTTCCCAGGAGGTTCCAGGTGGTTCCAGGTGGTTCCAGGTGGTTCCAGGTGGTTCCAGGTGGTTCCAGGTGGTTCCAGGTGGTTCCCGGGTCACCGCAACATCGCAACATCGGTTCTGTCACGCCTTCAGCAACCACATGGCCGAAAGAATGGAAAGTATCGCTCGTTTGGCTTCTTCCTGCTCCAAGGATCTCGGCAGTTCTGTAGCTCTGTGCTTTGAAATTTGCTGCGCGTGGAAACTCAGAAGAAATACAAAAAATATATCTTCGGAAATATAATAGAAAAGAAGCACAGCACCTGGTGATTGAGCTGTGCGTAGATTCCAAGGTACTCATTCAGCTCCGAAAAGGCCTCCTTCAGACCCAGTTGGAACTCCTGACCAGTTCCACAGTTCCACCACAACTCCAACCACAACTCCAAGCAGATCAAGCTGCAGCAGCAGCAGCACCTCTGGAGAAGGCAGCGGCGATTGGAGAGTTTGCTCCACAAAGTCGGAGATGTTGCTGACCTGGGGCCGACCCATGGCTGACCCAAAAGGATTTGGGATTGGAGATGATTGGAGAATTGGAATGATTTAGCAACTTGGAGATCCAATTCCATTGCTTAGCAGATTCAACTAGCTTCATCTAGTTTCAGTATTTCCAGGTTGATCTATCACGGGTGGGTGTTCTGTGTGGTGTATACGAAAGTCCGCCCGCACCGAAGGCGCCAAGGGACCAATGGACCGATCTGTCAGTCTGGTGCAGCTTCAGCTGTGGGGGGGGCCGTGTTCGCCGGGTGCCCCCGCACCAAAAAGAGGTTGCCTGCTCTTGTAATTTCATGTAATTTGAACAGATTGCAAATCGGCACAACGTCGGCCAAATTCACCGGTTCGATCCAACATGGCCGCAACATGCCGCCCCCATTGCTCAACTTCGGCAAGGCCCCAACTTCGGCCCAACTTAAAGGCCAAGGACGGCCAAGTTTGACCCCAGTCGGCTTTGGTTAGGCCAATTAGCGCTCCTTTCTCTGTCCATTTCTGTCCTATTCCTGGGTGCGGGCGGTACCTGTCACGAAGCGACGAATGAAAATACCGTGCCCTCTGCGGAGGTTGGGCCTCCATCCCCTTCAAGTCGTGCATCTTCCCAGAGCCCGGAGTTAAAAGTTCCTTGGGACCAAGCCCAGATCCCAGTTCACCGGTGGGATAGCCACCAAACAGGGCGAAGGGCAAGTCAGGTCCACTTGGGCCCCAAGGGACCCCAATGTCCGCTAAAAGATACCATAAGATACCTGCATTAGTTGCGATTGACGAGTTCCTTGTCATTTCACACTGACACCACTGCTACCATCTGCTACCATCTGCACCACTGTTCACACACAAAAACCCAAAAGAGCGGGGAAGATTCATCGTCCCATTCGATGTGAAAAACTACATCTGACATGTTCCCATTGCCTCGTGGCATAAAATCAGCTCTGAGGATCGCTGAGTTGTGTGATACGGACAGAATCTTCAATGCAGTGGTCTTCCAGTAGTTCCCAGCGGTCCTTGATCTTTCCTTTGCGTTTCCTTAGGCGCAAAAGTGCGTGCACTTCCACATGCTGGAGGGATGTACCGGATGTACAGAACCAAAAGAAGGTTGAATTGATGTGGTTTTTGGCAATGGCAGTGGACCAGTGCGATATAGTTTGGTCGATGTCGAGTTCCCAAAAAAGATGAACCGATTCTTCACCCAGTGGATGCTAAGGATCGCTTGTCGCAGCAATTCCACGGCATATTCGTGGATGGCAACCAATGCTGCTGGCGAATTGTGCATGGCCTCCCAAGGCAGCTCTCACAATTTCAGAGATTTGATGTTAGCACACAACCCATCCAAAAATTACAGTTAAATTTGCAAAGCCATCCAATGATCACAGGAAAAACATCCATAATTTGGTTCTCTTGATTTGAAAATGGTCGATTTATCTGGTTTTGACCTTGATCCATTGAACCATTCTTCCATTGATCCATTGAGCCATCTTGGACCTGGTTTTCCTCATTTTCGCCTTGCCTTCAAGAAGTCCTTCGCCGTGGTTTTCAGCACTTTGGCATAGGTCACAGACGTGAACAGCGAAGAATGAGACCTGAATGAAGTTGGGCATCCAAATTGGAGACACCCTTGACTTGAGGGTCACCCACAAACTAGTTGGATCATGTTGGAAACGGCAAGGATGCATATTTTTCCATGGTTTCCCGTACTGTTTGTCTTCTTGTTTCTGTACTTCCCATCTATTCTGCACAGTGAAAGTGCCTTTGCAGCTCACATGACTCATCGTCGCTGCGTAGTTTCTGAAAGTTTGGGGCCAACGTTTTTTTAGATATCGTTATATATATTTCTTATATCACATATATCTCTCACCCTCGGAAAACTATGTTTTCACTTTCAAAGTTCGTGGGACCTTAGGGACCTTTGCCGGAGAAAATAAAAAAACGCATCTTGGGAGCCAGGTTCAGCGGTGCAGCCAAGAAACAGCTCGTTAAAGAGGCTCAACTCCTTGGATCTCCGCCATCCGAGAAATCTTCACAAAATTCGAAAATCCAGTTAAAGGACCGGATAACCCCACAAGTCAATTTCTTCCAATAATGAGCAACAAATGTTGTAGCGGAGACGGGGAAGGAAGGAAGCACAAAGGAGGTGGTGGAGGATCGAGAAGTAAAAAAAATGTGTGTGTGTGACAAAGTTGTATGTGAAAGATGGTGTGTGACAAAGAAAATGGGGTGTGTGTGTGACAAAGCTGCGTAAGATTGTGTGTGAAACATGGTGTCAAAGATGGTGTGTGAAAGATGGTGTGTGAAAGGTGGTCTGTGACGGTGTGTGAAAGATGGTGTGTGTCAAAGTGGTGTGTCAAAGATGGTGTGTGAAAGAGGGTACGGTTTGTCAAAGATGGTGTGGTGAAAGATGGTGCGTGGCAAGTTGTGGATGCGCCTGCCACGCGAAACGAAGGCGGATGTCACCAAGCGCCACGCCTGCCACGCGAAACGATGGTGGATGTCACCAAGTGCCACGCCTGCCACGCGAAACGAAGGTGGATGTTGACAAGTGCTACGCCTGCCACGCAAAGTGCCGTGGCGTCACCGGCGTGTGTCAAAGAGGGTGTGTGACAAAGTTGTGTGTGAAAGTTGTGGGTGACAAAGTTGTGGGTGACAAAGCTGTATGTGAAAGAGGGCGCGGCGGAGGAGGGCGAGGAGGCGGAGGCGGGATACAGAATCAAAAACAAGAACCTCACGCAAAGATGTGGGGAAAAACAAAATCACAAAATAGAATCAAATCCTACCAGTAGTGCCGCGGAAGTTTCAAAGATAGGAAACTATAGGAGAGGTGAGTTGTTGTCATGCATGGATGGCAGAGCGAATCCACTGATGGACCGAAAGGTGGTTGGAGCTGTGCTTTTTGGAATGGTTGCAGCGGTCACCTCAACCACGACTGCTGGATGTAGTGTGGTGTAGCGTAGCGCAATTGTAGCTGCAGTTACAGTTGCAGTTTCGGTTGTAGCTGTGTCGCAATGCAGTTGTAGCTGAAGCGCTAGTTGATGTTGTTGTAGTTGTAGCAGTTTTTGTAGTAGTTGTTGTTGTAGTTGTAGTGTGGCATAGTGGTCGTGTAGTGTAGTGTGGTGAAGTGGAGCGAAGTGGAGTTGTAGTTCTAGCCGTAGTTGTAGTTGAAGTTGTAGTCGTAGTTGTACCTGTACTTGTAGTGTAGTGTAGTGGAGTCGAGTGTGGTGTAGTGAAGTGTAGTGTAGTGTAGTGGCAGTTGTTGTTGCTGTAGTTGTACTTGTAGCTGCAGCAGTAGTTGTAGTTGTAGTGCAGTGGTAGTGTAATATGGCGAAGTGGAGTGTAGTGTAGTGGATTTGCAGTTGCAGCAGTTGTAGCAGTTGTAGCAGTTGTAGCAGTTGTAGCAGTTGTAGCAGTTGTAGCAGCTGTGGCAGTTGTAGCAGTCGTAGCAGTCAAAGCAGTTGTAGCAGTTGTAGCAGTTGTAGCAGCAGCATCAGCAGCAGCAGCAGCAGCAGTAGTAGTAGTAGTAGTGGTAGCAGTAGCAGTAGCAGTGGCAGTGGCAGCAGCAGCAGCAGTAGTAGTTGTTGTTGTTGCTGTTGCTGTTGCTGTTGCTGTTGCTGTCGTTAGATGAGTAGTACTAGCAGTAGTAGTCGTAGCAGTAGCAGTAGCCGTAGCAGTAGCAGTAGCAGTAGCAGTAGCAGTAGCAGCAGTAGTAGCAGCAGCAGTAGTAGTAGTAGGAGGAGTAGTCGTAGAAGTAGCAGTAGTAGTAGCAGTAGTAGCAGTAGTAATAGGAGTAGGAGTAGGAGTCGGAGCAGTAGTAGTAGTAGTAGCAGCAGTAGCAGCAGCAGCAGTAGCAGTAGTAGCAGTAGTAGCAGCAGCAGCAGCAGTAGTAGTAGTAGTAGCAGTAGCAGTAGTAGTATTAGCAACAGGAGTAGTAGTAGTAGGAGTAATAGTAGTAGTAGTAGCAGTAGCAGCAATTGTTGTTATTGTTGTTGTTGTTGTTGTGGTCGTCGTCGTCGTCGTCGTTGTCGTCGTTGTCGTTGTCGTTGTTGTGTAGTTTGGTGCGGTTGAATGTCCAAAAGTGGTTTGAACATGTAGTGCTTTTACCATTTTGACTTCATCGTCGTGCATTTTTTGAACATCTGAACTGCCAAAAGTGCTCCGAGACCGTCAGTTTTTGACAGGTTTGACTTCGAAATGTGCTTCGCGCCACAACGGCGTGCACTTTTTCAACATCACAACTTCCAAAAGTGGTCTGGGACCCTCAGTTGGTTACACTTTTCGCTTTGAAACGTGCTTCGCGCCACAACGGCGTTCACATGCCTGCACTTTTTCGACATCTCAACTTCCAACAGTGGTCCGGAGCTGGTGTGTTTTGTACATTTTGACTTCGAAATGTGCTTCGCGCCACAACGGCGTGCAATTTATCATCTCCCATCTGCCCGGATGGCTCCGCACCCGCCGCTTTAGCGAGCCTACTTGTCGACCCTCCGGAGCCACAAAACATCGGAAAAACACAGTGAATCGCGACTTTTCCACCTTTTCGCGCACCTGCATCTTCTTTCTTCTTAGATTTTCTCTTTCTTGATCTTCTTTCTTCTTTTCTTCTCTTCTCTGACTCTTCCCACCTCTGCTTTTGCATCTGTCCATGTTGTCGGAAGTTTGACTTCTAAACTTCCTTCGACAATTTTGTTCATCATTCCACAAATGGGGTATATTCAGATATTCATCGCATGATCCAAAAACGGCTCCACAACAACCTTTGAAGATCGCCAAGTATCAGCCACAAAACCCTCTCGCACATCCGTCATCTCACTGAGGGCTGAGATGAGGCTTTTTGATCGGATCTGGCTATTATTCCCAGACTCCTTCACGGAAAAACAGCACAAGAAACTGCTTGACACGATCAACGCAATCAAATTTTGTCAAATCAATCAACACAAGTGTGATAGATTGTGACATGTTCAACATGCATCAGGTTCCCAAAGGCTGTCCTCTAGTGCCACATCACTCTCATCCTGTCAGAAAATATCCAACTTAAAAACACATCACACAACATCACAGAGCCAACATATGCCGACATAGCTTGTCATACAGCTTGTCATTTTCAGCACCTGCGGCGTCTTCAGCAGAAAGCTCCCGCTGACAGTGACGAACATGCCTTTCAAATGCGCACTGTAATCACACTGTGAGTTCTCAACGTTCACCCAGAAATGGCCGGGATCCCTCCAATTAACAGACGGTTTCAGATGTCAACATGCTCATTGCGGTAGAAGTGTATACTTTTTCCCGAGAGCGCCTGAGCGTAGGTTTCTTCATGGTTCTTCTCAAAAAGAAGCTGCGATAATACATCTTCACATCTTACATCTTACATCTGCACATCTTAGGTCTGATCGTACATCTGCACATCTTAGGTCTGACCTTACATCTTCACACCTTACGTCTTCAGATTTTAAGTCTGCAGACCTTACATCTTCAGGTCTACTTCATCTTACGTCTTCAGATCTTACATCTTCAAATCTTACGTCTGCTGATCTTACATCTTCAGAGCTTACGTCTGCTGATCTTACATCTTCAGAGCTTACGTCTGCTGATCTTGCATCTTCAGATCTTACGTCTGCTGATCTTGCATCTTCAGATCTTACATCTGCAGATCTTGCATCTTCAGATCTTGCACTCCCTCTCTCTCTCTATCTCTCTCTCTCTCTCTCTTTCTTTTTCTCTCTCTTCTCGCTTCTGCTACTTTCTATTCTCTCTTAAGGCAGGCCCGGTGGCCACGAGCGATCACGAAAATGCGACAGTTACGCACGAAATGAAGTTCGATCGTCAAAAACTGCGGAAAAAATGCGATTTTGAGTTGCCTTTTGCAACCCTTACGCGCGAAAAAAACTGAAGAAAATTGTTTTGTCTGTTCCCGTGTTGCGTCCGCGGTGGTTTTTGAAGCATAATGTGAAATGTTGTTTCTTTGTTTTTTCTGTCCTGGAACGCGTTTCGCAAGCATAATGTGACGTTTTCTTGTGACGTTTTCTTGTGCGTCCAAGCTGCATCTGCGGCGTTTCGCCAGAATAATGTTAGATTTGCTTGCGTGTTTTTCATGTCCCGCGAAGCGTCTCTCGAGCTAATGTGAAGGTGTTGTTTATATGTTTTTCTTGCCACGTAACGCGTTCCGCAAGCATTATGTGATGTTTTCGGGTGAGCAAAGTGTGCTTTGTAGCGCGAAGTAATACGGAAAGTACTTTCTGCAAGCCTTGCAGTACGAAGTGGTACTGGAAAGTACTTTGTGCTAGCTTTGTAGTACGAAGTAGTAGTGGTTGCCCTCTCGCCCCCTCTCGCCACTTGTGCAAGCTTTGTAGTACGAAGTACTACTGGGAATTGCTTTCTGCAAGCTTTGTAGTACGAAGTAGTACTGGTTGCCCTCTCGCCCTCTCTCGCCCGCAGTGCAAGCTTTGTGGTACGAAGTAGTGCTGGGAAGTACTTTAACTTTCTACAAGGTTTGTAGTACGAAGTAGTACGCGTTGCCCTCTCGCCCCCTCTTTCCCCTGTGCAAGCTTTGTAGTACGAAGTACTACTGAGAATTGCTTTCTGCAAGCTTTGTAGTACGAAGTAGTACTGGTTGCCCTCTCGCCCTCTCTCGCCCGCAGTGCAAGCTTTGTTGTACGAAGTAGTACTGGGAAGTACTTTAACTTTCTACAAGGTTTGTAGTACGCAGTAGTACTGGTTGCCCTCTCACCCCCTCTTTCCCCTGTGCAAGCTTCGTGGTACGAAGTAGTACTGGGAAGTACTTTAACTTTGCGCAAGCTTTGTAGTACGAAGTAGTACTGGTTGGCCTCTCGATCCTCTCGCGTGCAAGCTTTATAGTACGAAGTGGTAGTGGAAAGTACTTTGTAAAAGCATCTCTTTGTAAAAGCATCTGTGTGTAAAAGTGGCTGTGTGTAAAAGCCTCTGTGCGTCAAGGCTTTTGTGTGTAAAAGCGTTTGTGTGAAAAAGCGTCTGGATGTAAAAGCGTCTGTGTGTAAAAGCGTCCTTGTGTGTAAAAGCGACCGCGTGCGTAAAAGTGTCAGTGTGTAAAGGCCTCTGTGTGCAAAAGGTTGTGTGTAAAGACGTCAATCTGTGAAATCATCTGTGCGTAAAAGTGTCTGTGTGTAAAGGCGTCTGTGTGTGTGTTTGCAAAGGCTTTTGTTTCTAAAAGTGTTTGCGTGAAAAAGCCACTGTGTGTAAAAGTGTCTCTATGTAAAGGCGTCCGTGTGTGTAAAAGCCTCTGTGTGTAAAAGTGTTCGTGTGTAAAAGCGTCTGTGTGTAAAAGCGTCTGTGTGTAAAAGCTTCTGTGTGTAAAAGCGTCTGTGTGTAAAAGCTTCTGTGTGTAAAAGGGTCTGTGTGTAAATGCGTCTGTGTGCGTAAAAGCGTCTGTGAGAAAAGCGTCTGTTTGCAAAAGCTTCTATGTGTAACAGCGTCTGGGTGTGTAAACGTCTATGTGTAAAAGTGTCTGTCTGTAAAGACTTCTGTGTGTAAAAGCGTCTGTACGTAAAAACTTCTGTGTGTAAGCGTGTAAAAGTGTCTGTGTGTAAAAAGCCCCTGTGTGTAAGAGCCTCTGTGTGTAAAAGTAAAGCTGTCTGTGTGTAAAAGGGTCTGTGTGTAAAGGCTTCTGTGTGTAAAAGCGTCTGTGTGTAAAAGTAAAGCCGTCTGTGTGTACAAGGGTCTGTGTGTAAAAGCTTCTATGTGTAAAAGCGTCTGTGTCAAAACGTCTGTGTGTAAAAGAGTCTGTGTGCAAAAGCGTCTGTATGTAAAGATGTTTGTGTAAAAACGTCTGTGTGTAAAAGCTTCTGTGTGTAAAAGGGTCTGTGTGTAAATGCGTCTGTGTGCGTAAAAGCGTCTGTGAGAAAAGCGTCTGTTTGCAAAAGCTTCTATGTGTAACAGCGTCTGGGTGTGTAAACGTCTATGTGTAAAAGTGTCTGTCTGTAAAGACTTCTGTGTGTAAAAGCGTCTGTACGTAAAAACTTCTGTGTGTAAGCGTGTAAAAGTGTCTGTGTGTAAAAAGCCCCTGTGTGTAAGAGCCTCTGTGTGTAAAAGTAAAGCTGTCTGTGTGTAAAAGGGTCTGTGTGTAAAGGCTTCTGTGTGTAAAAGCGTCTGTGTGTAAAAGTAAAGCCGTCTGTGTGTACAAGGGTCTGTGTGTAAAAGCTTCTATGTGTAAAAGCGTCTGTGTCAAAACGTCTGTGTGTAAAAGAGTCTGTGTGTAAAAGCGTCTGTCTGTAAAGATTTTTGTGTAAAAACGTCTGTATGTAAAAGCTTGTGTGCATATAAAAGTGTCTGTGCGTAAATGCATCTGTGTAAAAGACTGTGTGTGTGTAAGGGTTTCTGTGTTGCATCTTCGCGTCCTACTTATGGTTGTTTTCTTTCCTTTTGCCCGTCTTGACATCTTGCCTCTGCCATCTTTATCAAGATCAGCTGCTACATTTGCCATCCTTATATAACCGTTCATAACATAATTCTTACTTTTTACATTGTCTAACTACTAACAACTGAGTAACTTGCTCCTCTACGCTCTCGGGCCATCCGTTGTCTAGTTTCCTTGGGTTTCAGAAGCGGCACTACGCAGCTTTTCCCGTTTTGAAGGGTTGCTAAAGCTGTCTTTTTGGGTATGGCTACAGCAAAGCAGATATCTATTTTTCGATTTCGCAGAAGACGCTAGGCATTGTTTGTCGTTTGGAAGAGTTTCTAAAACTGTCTTTTTCGGCATCGAAAACTGTTAACGCTCTACAATAAAGCTACCTTACCCAAAGCTAGAAAATCAGTGAAATAATTCATTTCTGAAAGATGTCTATTTTTCTTGGGTTACAGAAGCGACTGTAGGCCTGCTCCATGTCATCTGGATATCATCACATTCATAACATTCACCAGTGAATCCGGCAATGATCCAATGATGATCCGATTTCTCAACAACCATAGGTTTCGATACTAGAATAGTCAGAACAGTCCATAATTATAGTTCAATTTGGGCTAATTTGGGGGAAACCCCATGAAACACATGGTACCCCCATGACTTAGTAACCACACTTAGTAACCACACTTCGTCGACACCTCCTTCCGGGCCTTCGGCACGATCGCCACATTTGAAGAGCGGTTCCCCCATGACGCAAGCCTCGCTGTGGAAGGCCGCCACCAGGTTCCCCGCAGCCGAGAGCCGCGCCTCGATCCGCTCCGCGGATGTTGAGCTCTGATTCAATGTAGAAATTATATAATATTATATTATGTACATTTACATCATATATATATATCATATATATATATCATATACACATATTGTGTATGATGTATATATATATATAGAGAGAGAGAGAAAGAGAGTCTATGTTAGTCTATAGATGTCTATAGAACGTAGTATAGTCTATAGTATGTTATTCTATGTTGATTTTTACATCATCAAACTTGTCATATTTCTACATCCCATCAATCCCATCGCCATTTTCTCGGGTAAGGTGCATCCATCAGCATCTTGTAGAGCGGATGAGAAGCAAGTCGTTGACCTGTGGACACAACCCAACGACTCCAGCGCAAGTATTCAATGGAGTAAATTATAGTAAATTGGATATAATTGGATTCTAGTGCCACTTGAAAAAAATGGAAATACTCTTGAATCATCTTGAATCAGTCGGACGTTTTTCAGTGTTTCATGACTTGTGACGTCGTATTCATGGCCTTTCCCGTCCCGGGCCTGTCTTGACCACCCGCAGTTCGTCCAGCAAGGTGCTGGGCAGAAAGCGCAAGGCCATGGGATCTTTCACCTCCAATGGCGACTCATCGCTGTTCAAGACATCCTCCAGCGAGGCGAGCATACGCCTCAGGCTGGTTGATCGAAATCTAGATCAATTCGACTAGATGTTCTATGATGTTCTATGATGTTCTATGATGTTCTATGGTTCATGTCTATGTCCAAATTCTATCAAAGTGTAAATTCTTGGGAATTGGGTTTTCGACAAAAATAAAAAACGTGTCTGTCAAAAGGAAACAACGCCGACACAGCGATGACAGCGATGATGTGGTGCGTGCAACGATGGTGCAACGATGCATCCCAAGGCACTGGTTGAGTTGACTGGGCACTTTGGTTTTGTGCAACCAGCGCTGCAGGTCTCGTTTCACGTGGTCTCGCTCCTTGGCCTTCTCGTTCATGAGATTTAGGGTGCCAGTGATCTTTGCAATCTGAGCACCCAGCAGTGGCAAACAGGTCAAGATGATGACCTAAGGCTGCGCCAAGACATCATTTTTTATCGGGTGTCCAGTGTCAGGATCCACAGACCAGCACACTCCAGCACACCTGTAACATCCACGAAACAGAAACTCTTGGATTTTGCAAACAAATATGATCAAATGGGGATGTATCAAAACCAATCTTGCTATATTTGGGATGAACATCCATTTACCAGTTATTTGGGGTTCACTAGGGTACCAAGGTTTTGACTCATACCCAAATATGATGAAATAAGATTTCAAGTCTCTGGATTTGGCCATCGGTTGGAAAATCGAGTGTTCTGGCATGTTCTGGCATGTTCCGGCTCCATACTGAACAGAAACCTGACACATCTGACACTACCACAGCAAAGCCCGACTCGAAGCCTTGCTTTGGTGAAGAAATGAACAGAAATGAACAGAAATGAACAGAACGCTCAGAAGGGTCACCTGTCTGAAATTTGGTAACCCAGGCTCACAGACTCCGTTTTTTGGTAACCCATCTGACGTCCGATCTTTTACCGTCCGATCTGACAAGGTCCAAGGCTCCAAAATTGCGGCTTGCTCAATTTCGTTCTGAGCTCGGTATCTAAATGGCGCAGGAGTGTACTGCGCGATGAGCAAATTGAACGATGTCCTGAGTTGAGATCCCCGGGTCAGAGCTGCGACTTTGAAACTTCGAGAAACTTCGACTGAGTAAGATTTCATATGATTTAATGATATTTAATGGAGTTTAACCTGTTTGCTCTGTTTGGATCTGTTCATATTCTATTTCTTTGTACTCTCCAGGAACTGCCTTTCAAGGAATCTTAAACCTCCCGCTGGAATTGTCACTGTCCGAATTTTATCTGCAAAATTGAAATTTCACCATAGCGAAAGGATGCGAAACATCAATGTTTATCCTCACAAAGGGATATCCGAAAGTGGATGTTTAACTTTTGGATCGACAACCTGTCCAAACTGTCCAATGTGTGTTTGCTTTCCTCGGACGCCGAACTGCATTTCTTGTGTTCCTCATCAAATCTCTTTGAGATTTTGGCTGTGACGTTCAACAAGTTTGTGAGCAAAGCATCAAGAGCATCAAAGAATCACATGGGTGGTCGCAGGCGAATAAACGTTACAAGCCTATCATCTCTTTTGTGTGGCAGTCTGGCATTCAGTGGGCCGGAGGATATAGAATAGAAGTGAATCAGCCATGTCATACTCATTTTATACTGAACAAACACCACAGCTTTGTAGAACTTTGAACATCCAAAGCTTTTCCCAATATCCAATTTGAATATCCAAGGTGCATGTATTGCATCGCATCTGATTGATTCTCCACCTCGTAGGTCTCAATCCAATTGGGCTGACCCCACAGCTTTCCCATGCGGCCAATGTAAAACATCGCGCACGCCTTGGAACCGATGGGTGACACGCCTGTGACACACTCGATGGATGGAAGATGGAAGATGTCGCTCAGACGGTCACAGTCATTGTCACAGCACCTGAGGCCTCCACCAAGCTGTGGTTGACCACCAAAATCGACATAACAGATTGAAGAATCGTGGACCAATAAACCAAGACCATATTCCCTCTGGTCGCCAAGCGATTCTCAAACATGCTCATGACCTCAGGAAGATTCCGAAGATTCGAAGATTCCGGCACTGGAACCACTAGGAGGTCGCAGGATTCTCAGCCAAGCTTCGGCCCGAAACTTCAGTGCCCGAAGGAGGCGAAGCATGGTGAAGAGCCGGAAGTCTTCATCGACCAAGCCCGAAATCAGAAAAATGTCCACCAGGACCACCGAAGCATCGCGCGGAAACGCTTGGCCTAAGGGAAGATCTGGGAAGGGAAACGATGGGAAACGAAGATCTCAGTGAATTCGTGGATCTTCGTGGGTCGCTTGATCTGCTTCATGTACGTTTCACTATTTCATTACATTTCATGACATTTGGTTACTTATCAGAATGATGTTGGATGCATTGAGACCCATGTTTTCATGCATTCACGTTTGTCATCAAGCTCGTGCAGTCAAGGCGCACATGTAAGATCGAAAACGACTCCGGCAATCGTTTTTATCCGTCAATGCCAGCGTGATGGCCAGGACAATATCCATCATCCAAAAGTAAGGAGTTGCCTCAAACTTGCCCCACTTGTCAGCTGGCACAAAAGACAACAAAGCGCCAAATTTCAGGGATTTGTGGTGAAAGTAGATACTGCTAAAATATGCTAAAATCCGATGTGAAATATATGTGAAAATTCATCTAATCTGCCGTGAATCATGAAATATCATGAAGACCCCATGTCGAAACATGTCGAAACCTGTGGGAACCGGACTCCCCCCAGGACTCCCCAAGGACTTTCCGGACCTCGTAGTAGAAGAACCAAAAGCTCCCCGTCTGGACCAGCGAAGGCCAGGCCAAAGATACGGGGAGAAAGATGGTGTCGATCGCCACCAACCTGAAACTCTAAAAAGACACTGCTGGAAGCTGAGAAATGTTTCATGAAATCTTGAATGATTATAACATTTATTATAATATTTATAATGAAATCAAATGAAATCAAATGAAATCAAATGAAATCAAATGAAATCAAATGAAATCAAATGAAATCAAATGAAATCAAATGAAATCAAATGAAATCAAATGAAATCAAATGAAATCAAATGAAATCAATGGACAAGAATGAACAATAGTGAAATAGTGATTCAATATTGGACATGGGTTTGTCATGGAGTGAGGAGTGTCTATGGACTTTGGGGGACTGGTCTCCAAGGAGCACAAGGGTCATGATGTTCCAGATCAAGTCCAACCAGGAGAATAGCTGCCACCACCACTTCGTGCCTTAGTGTTTTTCAAACTGTCTGATGACTATTGATGGTACTATTGATGGTACTATTGATATCTATTGATCACGGTTCCAACATATTTTCAACGAAACTTCGTTTGGCACGCGATTCGACCAGATCCGATAGGTCAAGTCTTAACACATTCGACAAGTGATCTTCGACAAGTCGCTATCTTCAGGACTCTCGACCATCAAAGGATCGCTGAACACCGAGACCGTTGCGTTTCGTCGGCTTCTTCTCTGGCCTGGAATGGAGCAACGGATGAAGATTTCACATGATTTCACAGATTTCATATACCTAAGATTACCTAAGATGCTGGAAAATTCTGTGGCTCAGATCTCAGGTGATTGGGAATGTGCAGAATGCCAGTCGCAAATCGATCTTCTAGCAATGCCATCTTGCTATATCTTGCTCTCAGGTCCATTTCAGCCAATTTGGCCGCCGGACCGTAGAGCCAGTTGTACATCATGGTGGCTTCTGCTTCGTTCACCACAAAGCTTTCGGACCAGTCTTCCATGAGCTTCCCAGTTGCTCCTGTCAAAAGCTCACCCCCTCTGGCATCGGATACTGTTTTATCACCCGATGTTGGTTGCTTTTTGGTCGACATGTGGAAACATCAACAAAAATCAACATGTTTCGATGTTTCGTGAGACATCCAACATGTCTTTTCCGGCGCTTGCTTTTTCCGGCTGCTGCTTTAGAGCCTTTAGGGCACTGTACTCGGTTTCACGACTCCGTGGCAGTCGGCCAGTCATGACCGGAACATTCTCTTGGAGCAGAAATTTCTCCTTGGAGAATATTCAAGCGCGATTCCAACAACCCACCATCCCAATCTCCAGATTATTGATGATCATTATATAATCAATAACAATAATAATATCAATAATAATGTATACATATGGCACTTCAATAATTAATTGATGACAGTAGATTCTATGCCTTGGATAACCAATTAACCAATTAATCAATATATGGCAGTGTGTCAAAACCAATAGTACCCCTGTAGTTCACATCAAAATAGCTGGGATTTATGGATGTGAATAACCCACTAAAAATGTATCTATAGGTATTGACCCATACCCATGTATCATTCATATTGAGGATTCTCAGGAATCCTTTCACAAACCATCTGCTGGACACATCCAAGAAACCGAATCGGGAGATTCCACCTAGGATGGAGATGGATGCTGATAGCTTGGTCGAAAAAACCTCCAAAAACCATGGGAAAAACCATTATAAATTATGAATATTATGATATATTATGATATCACAGTGATCACACCTCAGATACCTCAGGCTTTTCACTTCGAATTTGATCATTTTGACTAAAAGCTGCACCTTTTTGGGTGCCACGCGACCTGCTCGGCACCAGTCGCAACCAATTTCTGGATAGCCAAGACGGCGTCAGCTATTTCGCAGCGGGCTTCATCGACCAGCCTAGTTTGGACGAGCATAAATCGTGGTGCAGACTATAGCAAACACCATTGATACCGCCCCAATTCATTGGAAGGTAAAGCAAAATTATGGATTCAATGATAGCTTGCTCACAGGTGTTCATTTTCTACACTTACTTTCTACACTAAGGCAATTCTAGGTCAAATCTGAACCTCACCCTGATCACTCTGTCAGCAGCCCAGCAGAAAAATGCAAATTGCATGCTTCACAGCCGAAGTTTGAATAGGCTCATGGTGCACAGCTCACTTCCGGGTCATTCCCGGCAGAAACATCCCACAAGTAGATGAGACATCATGAAACGGACGTTTGAATCATGCCAGTTATGCCAGGTTCACCCCCAGTTATGCCAGGTCCAAAAAAAATGACCAAAAAACAGCCTAGGGACTTGAGCCTAGATGAGAGCTCCTGTTGCCAGTGGTTCAGCGCAGTAAAACATTCAGAACCTGAAGCCGAGTCAAGCCTGGTCCAGCGCCCAGGTATCCTCTGGTGCCCATTTGGTCATAATTGGTGGTACTTGGGGCTATCTAATTTTGTACACCTATATATTATATATATACATATACATATAGCCTATATAATGTCAATATCCCATGTCAATATCCACTTTTTCTGGAATTTAGTGGTAACATGTGAAGGACACCATGTGGTAACACCTCCAATTCGCACCTTGAAGTTGCTCAAGTTGCATGGCTATGTCTTCTACGGCACCATTGGGGCGCCCATCAGGCTATTCAGGTTGAGAAGATCTGGCACTTTGTCTGTTCTGAGAAAAATAAGGTTTGCCCAAAATGAAACTCGGAAAGAAACTATAGTAAAATATTGTATATATATATAGTTAATTGGCAAAAATCCTTGGTCTGTATTTTGATTCACTTCTGAACCTGGCCACTTTCAGGGTGCAGCTCCCATGAGTGCTGAAGCCGAGATGCTGGATCAAAATTTGTTCCCATCGTTTCCCATCTTTTCCCCAGTCAAACTGCTGTTTTTGCGGGGGATACTGGGTATACCCTCTGGTAAACTAACATAACTATGGAAAATCACCATGTTTCATGGGAAAATTCACTATAAATGGTGATTTTCCATAGTTATGTTAAATTACCAGAGGGTACCCCATTTTCATTGTCATGTCCTGCCCAAACACAGCACAGCACCCTGTTTTCCTTCCAGGCGCAGCCGCGCAGCGCTGCCCAACCTGGAGTCGATGTGCGACTCGGAAATTTGCTCCCGTTCTACATTCATGTTAGTATAACTATCTGAGACTATCTGATATTATGTCATCTTTATGTCACATATATGTCACATCTGTGTCACATTCATGTCACATTTATGTCATATTGATGTCATATGAATCATATGAGTTATATGTTATGCCATCTAGATCCATGTGAGTCGATTGAAGGCTCACATTATGCGCCTGCATAGGTGGCATCGGCTTACCACCTAAGCTCAAGGTATGGCACTGCTCTCGTACACCCGGCATACACGACATACACGACAGCGGCACAGGTTCAAATCATTAGATTTTATGGACACCTAGGGACACCTCTCAGAATTGGTCGTTTGTCCAATTCAGCTTTCCAAGGCCACCGTTTTGAGTTGGTATCTCTTGACCCAAATTGCCAGCATCTTTTTGTCATCAGTGCTTTGTTGCCACACAAGGGTTGCACACACCACAGGCGAAAGCTTCGTCTTGGTGGAAAGCCATCGCATTCTATTCGGGTCAGTTTGGGGGAACATGTGCCCCCAAATGGGTCAGTGAAGTTTGGACATGTTTGAAGCTCACGACACTCTTAACGTACAGGTCCTATCAGATCCTTCCAAGGATCTATCCATATCTATCCATGATTTGGCTATGAATCAATACCTATTAATACCATTTTTAGAGGGATGAACATCCATTTACCAGCTATTTTGATGTGAACTACAGGGGTACTATTGGTTTTGACACACTGCCATTTAAGAACTCTGATTCTATGACGAAGTCTGATTCCATCCCAAAGCTGACGGTCAGCTGACGCTTGACGTAAAGCGCCACGACACGCAGTGCCTCTATGGCAAACTAAAGGGGGCTGCCTAAGGCAATGCCCCTTTTTTGGAAACGCATCGAAAATCCTTCGCTTGAAACAACAAAAAGCCCTCTGCAATGAAAAATATGCCTTCAGATGCATCAAATCATGTTATTTCATGTTCAGATGATGGGCTGTGTAGCAAATCCTCTTTGGGATGTTGGGAAATTCTCCAGTCTCGCTACACTCGTAGCGGTTCTCCTGGCTCCTGGATCTCACTTTCCTGGAGATCGCAACGGCACAGGTGTCCATGGCACAGATCTGTGGCTACATAAAGCCATACAACATATACATAGATACAATAATTAAATGCGTATATATAATATGTATACGTATGTGTATATATATATATTATATATTCAAATTCATATTCATATTCATACATAATATATACGTACAATCATATATATAGATATACATCGATTTGGTCATTCTATGGGCCACCCATTCAGTGAGAGTCACGGAGTTGCGTTTTGTTCCAGTTGCTGCTAGGTTCTGGCCCAATACCTTCCCCGAGTCGGCCAATAATTGGGGTGTGCACACCATGGCGTTTCCAGCTTGGCTATTTCCTCCTGTGAAAGGAGGCTTGTTTACAGGTCATCTGACTACTCTGCACTGGACAGATCAAGGTACACGATGTAAGCTTCATGGCTTTGACATGGAAGTTGAAATCACCACCAAATTTCCCTTGCAGGTTCATTTGACTTGTTATGGATTGAAAGTTGATGCAGCAGCCGAAACTGTGATGCACGTGTCTTCCGACACGCAATGTTGCGAGTGCCCCATGCAACACCATCCAGAACGCACGGTGGTGGAGCTCTGTGCAGGTGTGGGAGGTATCGGTTTGGGGGCCCTGACATGCAGGTTCAAGATTCTTGCGCAAGTGGACTCCAATTGGTTGTCTGTTGAGCATCTTCGTCAGATGGGTCATGGTTTGACAATCCATGGTGACATCACTGACGATGCGACACTGCGTGCCATCCATGTTGCATGTCCTGATCAGATAGGAATTCTTGCAGCCGGTTTCAATTGTCAACCGTTTAGTGTCCAAGGGGACATGAGGGGTTTGTCCGACAACAGAGCTTCCAGCTTTTGGGGGACCCTCCGTGCCTCCTTTTTGTTACGACCTCAGGGTTTGCTTCTCGAATGTGTCCCGGGGGCAGGCCAGTGTTCTCAATTGCGTGCTGCACTGAATGAGTTTTTGGATTTGATGCAATGGCAAGCCATTGAAGTGACATTTGATTTGGCTTCGCAGTGGCCCAATTGTCGTCGTCGTTGGTGGTTGTTTGCTTTTCCAAAGACCATTTCATCCATGCCTATTCCTGCTTGGCCCATTGATCATCGACACCAGTGTATTTGCCAAATCATCCAAGACTGGCCGTTTTGGAATGCTGACGAAGAAAGCCAATTGGATTTGACATCAGAGGAATTGCAGGCATATCTTGTGGACTTTGGTGAACCAAACCGAGTGGTGAATATGACTGATCCATGCCCAACTTTTTTGCACAGCTACGGCAACAGCACCACCAGTTGCCCATGTGGTTGTCGCTCAGGACCATTTACCATGTACCGACTCCGTAGCAGAGGATTGAGAGGATTCATGGTAATTGGCAGTAAGGGACAGATGCGATTCATGCATCCGAAAGAGATGGGCTTTTTGTTGGGTTTTCCTGGTGATTTTCCAACTGCCGCACATCTGAGAGCCACCATGTGCATGCTTGGTCAATCAGCCTCGCCTTTGCAATCCAGTTGGATGTTCCATCACATTGGCCAGATCCTTTTTCAGGACACACCTACTGATCCAGTTGCTCACATCAACATGATGAAGGAAAAGTTGTGTTTTGAAAAGTATCACACGTGGCCAGTTCCAGGAACATGTGGACAATTTCATGTCACATTGCATACTGCTGACGAAGCCCCAATCAAGCTTTGGGCCACTGGTCCAACCCCGGCTCAATCCCTTTTGCAGGCCAGTCGAATGCAACTTGATTGGGGGCAAAAAGTAGTGCTCATGGATGGAAGTGTTCGAGTGCCTCCAGATGCCTTACTTCGTCAGGAAGGTTTCTATGGTCCATATCAGCTTTTGCAATCTCTGAAGCCCCAGGCTTTGACCAAGTCTGAAGGTGAAATCATGCTGGCCTTCACAGGTCTTCGAGACTTTGTCGTGGTCACCAGAACGGCAGGCACCTTTTTGTTTTGCGTCATGCACGATTTGGATCTTATGCCCACTATGCACATAATCACAATTGGTGGCAGCATTGTAGATCCGGATGCGCGTTTGTGGAACAGTCATGTTTTGCATGTGCACGGCATGGGGGAAACAACTGGGACCACCTTTGGACTTTCTTTGGATTTTCTTCACACCATGATGAAATGGATGGTCAATCAGATTGCACGGCCTGTGGACTTTGTGCTGCATGGATGGATTTTTGGTTCAGGTGCGTGGACTTCCTTGTTTGGCCCTGGTCATGTGTGTGATGTCCCATCAGGTGTCACCCATTGCTGTTGCCTTCTGTTTCGAGCACATTGGATCCTGCTGACTCTCCGTGTTGGACTTTCTGTTGAGGGCGTCCCCACACTTCATGCGGCTTTTTGGGATGGTCTTTCTGTTCCTTGTGTGCCTCCACAGGTCATGGACTTGATTTCTCTTTATGCAGACGCCTGGCAAGTGACGCAGGTCAATGTGGACATCTCAAGGGTCATCATGCAACATCAGCCTGCATCCTGTGGAACCGTCATGCTAGGGCATTTTGGACTTGTAATTGGTTTTTTAGACCCAGCTCGAGCGTTGGATTTCGAAGAGCTGCATGCCCAATTGCTCAGCCAAGATCAGCATTTGCTCTATCAGCAGAGATCCGAGCACATCGGATATGGCAAAGACCAACAATTGCTTGCACGTTTGAGCGCCATTTTGGTAGAGCATGGAGTCCCACCAGACCGAGTCGAGGAAAGGGCCACCATGGGCTTGAAAAAGGTAGGTGCAGCTGAGTTAGCAGCAGCCCTGGACTCCAACAATCCATGGGCATATCTGAAAGCCATCGGGTCACGCCCTCATGTGGCATTTCATTGGCTCAAAGCTGACGAGCTGCAGCAAAAGGTTCGTGAACGTGCCGCAAGCAAATTCAAAATCCAACACAAGCCGAAGACCACCAAGCCTACCAAGAAAGAAGGCCAAACTCCTTTGTGGCTTGATCCGGCCCAATTGCAAGTAGTTTCAGGGACTTTTTATGCCCAAGACTGTGAAGTCAGCCAGATTCCCTTCACTGAGGTCACCCGTGATGCCAGTGGTCTTGCTTTTTGTTCGGTTGCTGAAGCCATTCCTTTCTTGCGTGAGGGGAAATCGTTGAGTGACAAGCCTTTAGGGATTTTGTGCACCACGCCGGTACCCAGTGATCAAATTGGCACCATGAATGTGGTTCATCTCCGATACCCGGCTCAGTTTCGTGGCACCAATGAACCAATCCTTGTGCAGGGTAGTTTGATTCAGCTTGGGGCTCCACAGATCACCCGAGGTAGCTCCTCCCTGCCCACTTGTACCTTGGCTAGCATCCCAACACAGACATTGCGATTCTATGTGTTCCAGGATCAGTGGGAAGGGAATTGGAAGGAGTTCAGTGAACAACCAGTCCGTGCGCTTTTGACCAGATTTCCGAGCCTCTCACTGTGCAAGAAGAAGGCCAATTGTGGAGAATCATGTCCAAACTACCATGCAGCAGTTGATGAACCATTGGACAATCTCATCATGGACTTGTGGGCTAGGAGCTGGCACAAGCTTGACTCTAAATACACCAAACCCATGGATGCCAGTTATTGGAGTGTGCTTGTACGTGTTCCTGCTAGTGCACAACTGACGATTCAAGGTCTTTCAGGTCATGGAGGCTTTTATGTGGAACCCAGATCTGATTCCGGCAAATCCACGGATGAACGTTATGGCATGGTATGGTTGGGTGAATTGCCGTTGCAAGAACTCACATACAAGCTCAAGACAGTCCCAAACGCAATTGCCATCGGACGCTTGCGAACCAAATTAGGATTGAGATTCCAGCAGGCACATCTTGAGGAAGCCACCAAAGCTTTGAAGCCAGAAGAGCCATACATCGAAACCCAAGTCCATCAAATCTACAAATTGTATCCACTGCCATATGGAACTCAGAAGGCAGCTTTGCAAAAGTGTTTGACAGACTGGGGATGGATGGCTCGTGTTCGACAGTCCATGGGAGGAGGATCTGCAGGTGTTGCCTGGGAAGTAGGTTCAAGCAAGGAACCACCATCAACAATTTTGCCCCAACCATCCGGAGATGTTGCCATCACATTGATCCGCACAGTAGGCAAGACAGATGCGCCGCCAGCTTTGCTTGCTTCCGCCAACACGAAGAAGTTCATGCAGAAGGCACAGCCCACTGCCACCACCAGTGATCCTTGGACCCACCCAGGTACTGACCCATGGTCGAGCAATCCATGGGGGAATTATCATGGGCCCAGCAGTTCGGCTCCTAGAGCCTCAGACAAGATGCAACAGTTGGAGGATCGACTGAAACAGCAGATGACTGCACACATTGCGGCCTCGACTGATGCCACAATGAGCCAAGACCATCCGGAGTTTGAGGAATTTCGAGCGGACACACAAGAAAGGATGGCCAAGATGGAGTCCAGCATGCAAGAGCTTCAGGCACAAGGACAGAAGTTTGAAGGCTGGTTCACACATCTCAACCAAGCCGACCAACATCTTGCAGCACAGCTGGACACCACCACGCAACAAGTTGAAACACAGGGACATCGCATCGAACAGATCAACAAGGACATGAATCAGCAGGTGGGGACATTGCAAATGGGCCTGAACAAAGTGCAGACAGATCTTGATTCAGGCTTTAATCGCATTGAAGCCTTGCTGGAGAAACGCAATCGCACATCTTGACTAGGTCAGGCCGGCTCCATCAGAGGATGGAGGCCGGTTTCATGGACTTTTGCCAGATGCCTTTGGTTTTTCTGGCATCTTCTTTTGCCAGCGTCATGCTTGCAGCTCGGGCTTCTTGATGAGGCCACTTCCTTGAGCGCTCGGACTCATTTTGTCAGTTCTGCTCCAGACATGCTTTCGGATTCGGATGCACTTCCCTTTGCCCAGCACTACTTCGTCAGCGCGGCCCAAGGGGACCGCGATTGTGGGTCGGGGGAAGTTGCATCATCTCCATACTCAGCAGTGGGCTTTTCTTCAGTGTCTCAATTTTTGGATGAAGATCAATCTCAGAATTTCGTCTGTGTTGCACAGAATTGGGACTGTGTAGATTTTGACGAGCTTTCAGGTCACGATAGACCTTATCCTTGCGGTGAAGCGTTGAATCCAGGGCCAAGCCTGAGTATCAATTTTGCCAACCCCACTGGACTTAATGGGAAAGAGCATGTGGTTTATGCTTTGCCCTCCGGAATCACATGTTTGGCTGAGACACATTTGGCGACACCAGGCATGACACAGTCTTGTGGCATTCTTCGATCATTGGCCTTGCGAGATAATCGACCCTTGCGTTTGTTGCCTGGGGCTGCTGTCCCACTGCGAGCCAGGAGCAACTTTGTAGGTAAGTGGGCTGGGGTGTTTCAGATGTCCGACTTGCCATGTCACAGGTTGCAGTTGAATTGGCCGCAGGATGAGTACAACCTAGGCAGGGTCCAAACGGCTTCATTCCGCATGAATGACATCACCATCCAAGGCACAGTTTTGTACGGTTGGTCACCAGGGCCTACATGGCCGAAAGCACATGCGGCCACACGTGCCATGTTGCAACATCTTACCGAAGAACTGGTGGTTGGCTCGAAAGGGCTTCGCTACATTGCTGGTGATTTTAATGGGGATGCTTCACACTTCCCGGAGTGGGAGATATGGTCAAGAGCAGGGTGGCATGAGGTTCAGTCACTACATGCACTTCGCACAGGTGAGGGTCCTTTTCCAACATGCAAAGGTCGCACACAGCCTGATTGCATCTGGATATCCCCTGAACTTGCTTGTCACTTCCGCAGTTGTAGCATTTATGACTCATTTGCTGACCATGCAGCGATCTCAGCCAGTTTTGATTTGCAACTTGAGGATGCCACTTATCCCTGGTGGCCTATGCCATCCAAATTGCCTTGGACTTCGATCGATCTTCCGGCTTGGTGGCACTCTGCCCCTGAGCACTGTTTGTTTTCCTACGAAGCTTCCACAACAGAGTTTCTTGCGAGTTTTGGTCGTGCTTATGAGGACAGCCTTCGACCATTTTTCGTGCCAGACCCACACTCAGGTCTTCCATCCGCAAGCAAGGGACGAGGGCAAACCTTGGAGCCCAAGCAGAGAGTCCAACAACTTCCCACCGTGAAGCCATCACGGGCGGGAGAAGAAACCCTCCGCAGTGACTTAGTTGGCAGATCGGTTCAACGTTGGTTCACTCAGTTGCGAAGGTTACAGTCACTGCTGCACAACATTCGTCGTGATAGCACGGCTCCAGGTGCTATAGCTTATCGATTGCAGCTCTGGCAGGCAATCAAATCTGCGCGTGGGTTTGCGGGCACCTTTGCAGCTTGGTGGGCAGTTCGTCCACACAAGAGTCCCGGATCACCGTTGCTGCTTCCTTCGTCGCTGCCTGATCTTTTCACCTTAGAATTGCTATACTTGGATTTCCAGCACAACTTTCGTTCCTTTGAGTCATGGAATTTGCAGCAGCGTCGCAAGACACTGCAACACGTCCTACGGGAAGACTCGAAAAGGGCATTCCAATCAGTTAAAGGGGCTATCAAACCAGCCCCAGATCGTTTTGTGGAATCCAGTAGCGCTATAGTAGTTGCGGCAGATGCTCCCTCTAATCAAGTCGAAGTGGAACAGGACTTTCCACAGGCCACTCAATCCATTTGGACTTTAGATGGTGCACCTGCACAAGTTCGTCAGTTGGACACCTGCTTGTACGAGGTCTCGGCTGAACTTTCTGTGGAGGCAGGACAAGAGTTGGAGCAACATATCCAAATCACCCGCACAGATGAAATGTTTGACAAACTGAAACAGTTTTGGGAGCCTCGTTGGTCCAAGCGTTTGACCCTCTCTGCTAGTCATTGGGATCGTTTGCTTGCGTTTGTCCAGACTCACATGACTCCTGCGGTGTTTGACTTTCCTCCAATCACCTTGTCAATGTGGGATCATATAAATCATCGGTACTCTGCAACTGCAGCCCGTGGACCCGATGGATTTGACCATTTGGACTTACTCCATATGCCGGTTGGGTTTCAACATAGTTTGCTTTCCCTTTTGTCAGGCATTGAATCAGGACAGCCTTGGCCCAAACAACTTCAGCTAGGTTTTTGCCACCCGTTACCCAAGAGACCTGATGCCACCACCGTGCAGGATCACCGGCCCATCGTGATCCTTTCGGTTTTATATCGGAGTTGGTCGGCATTGCGTGCTCGTCCGCTTTTAGCTCAACTGAAACACCTGGTGGGCCCTGGGGTCATTGGATTTATGCCGGGCCGTGAGGCGGGCGAAGTGTGGCATTATGTCCAGACATTGATTGAATGGGCACTGCAATCTGGCCAACAGCTGCACGGGGTTGTCTCTGATGTCCGTAAGGCTTTTGAATCAATTCCCCGGACCCCTTTGTTTGCGGTTATGTCCCTTCTTGGATTTCCTGCTCCACTTTTGTCGGCTTGGTCTCGTTTTTTGGATGGACTCGAACGTCGGTTTTTGCTGAGAGACCAAATTGGAGACATGATTCCAAGCAATTGGGGACTTCCAGAAGGTTGTAGTCTGTCCGTACTTGGCATGACTGTCATTGACTGGGTTTTTGATGAGTACCAACGAGCCTTCACCAGTACTTTGCCCCTCACATATGTTGACAACTTTGAGTTGCTGTCTGCGGAACTTGGAAGTCTCATGACTGGATATGCATCCATGGAAGCTTTTATGGACTTGTGGACTTTGGAACTTGACGGCCCCAAAACCTTTTTCTGGTCTACCAACGGGACTGCCAGATCTACTTTGCGCAGACTTGGCAAGCATGTTGTCTTGGAGTCTCCGGACTTGGGGGGAGCCATGACCTATTGCCGTCGTACTGGGATAGGCTCTCAAAAGACCAGGTTTGAATCTTTAGAACCCATGTGGCCACGCCTTCGACGTTCACTTGCTCCGTTGTCCATCAAGCAGTTTCTCTTGCGTCAGGCCTTTTGGCCAAAAGCCTTTCACGCCATTGGAATTACTCTCCTTCCGTTCAAGTGGATTTCTTCCCTTCGCACTCGTGCTGTCAGGGCGTTAGGTTTCGGGCAGGCGGGGGCTAATCCAGGTGTCAGACTTGCTCTGTTGAGCTCAGCTTACACCACTGATCCAGGTTTTTTCCAGGCTGAACGGGTTGTGCATGACTTCCGACGTTTTCTGGCGAAAGATCCATCGCAACTGCATTTCTGGAAAGCTTTCATGGATACCTACACAGGCACTCAGCTTTCTGGACCTTGCTGCAAGTTGCTGGAAATTTTCGAACAGTTAGGTTGGTATGTGCAATCACCACCTTGGATTCTGGATCATGATGGATGTCCATTTGACTTTTTGCATATGTCTTCAGGGGCTTTGCAATCAGTGCTTGAGGATGCATGGACCCAAAGGCTAGGAACAGAATTGGCTGGACGGAATGATTTTACGGGGTTGGTGGGTCTTCATTGGCCACCTAGTCGACATGAACAGCGGTTGACAGCTCTGGAGAATGCATGCGTCAACTCCTTGCGGGAAGGCGCTTTTCTGACCAACCATGCCCAGAGCAAGTTCGACTTGATTAAGGGGGACCTCTGCAAATTCTGCAGACAGGTTGATACCATAGAACACCGCTGTTTGGATTGTCCGGCGCTGGCAACAGCGCGACAAGGTCATGAAGAAGCACAACAGCTTTGGCATATACTTCCTCAGTCATTGACACATCACTTGATGCTGAGCCGAAATCCGTATCATGCGGAGCGGAAGAGGGTGTTACTGCAACTGGAGGAACATGTGGGCCCCTTTGAATATGTGGACACCACATTGGATGCACGTGTTGACATTTTCACTGATGGTAGCTGTGAGTACCCAGAGACACCACCACTTTCACTAGCGGCATGGGCTCTGGTGTCAGCCACACATGAACGGGTCCTCCTCAGTGGACCTTTACCTGGCTTTCATCAATCTATCAACCGTGCGGAGCTTTTTGCCATCTACATGGCAGTGCAATGGGCATGGCAGACCCGCCATCCAATCACCATTTGGACGGACAGCGCCTACGCTGCTCATGGCTTGCACTGCATTATTTCTGACCCACGGAGTTTTGAGCCTGCATCTAATGAGGATTTGTGGCAACAGATCAGCGAACTTTTGGACATGATGGACCTGGGTTACATCCAGGTGCAGCACGTCAATAGTCATCTGTCCACGGAACATGCTCTGAGTCCGCTTGACGAGTGGATCGTGAAATGGAATCAGGTTGCAGATACAAATGCCAGCCTGGCAAATCGTTCTCGACCGAGATGGTGCACGGAAGTATGCGACAGACATCGAGAAGCCTTTCTGGAGTCAGAAAGCCATGTGGACTTGTTGCGGAGTCTTCACCTCGACGTCGCACTGCACCGACAGGCTTTGTTGAAAGTACATGGAGAAGAAGAAGTGGAAGATGAAGAGGAAACCATCCTTCAAACCAGAAATTGGGTCCAAATTGACGACTGGCTGGATGCGTTACCACTGGGGTGGCTGACCAAATGGCCCTCTTTGGTGGGGGCGCAGCAATTTGCCATTCCAGTTGTGAAAGCTTTGCTGGATCTGTTGATGAACGAACGTGAGAGATCTGAGGGAGCAGTTTATCTTTCATGGCTGGAAATCGCAGTCATGCTTGATGTTTTAGATTTTTCTCACCCAATTGAGATTTCTGATCATGGTCGTACAGTTTGGGCTCATCCCTCTCAGGTGTTACCAGGACACCATGGGCAAGTCACGGTTGCTGCTAGGATCAGGTTTCTCAAGTGCTTTTTCAGAGTGTTGGGTAGGGGTTTTGATTGTGATTTGGATCTTGTTTCTCGGTTGGATATTTCCCATTTTCGTGTGCACTCGCCTCAGAGTGGGATGGCCATTTTTGTATCTTCTGGAACGCTCCAGCAGATTGATGCGGCACTGCTGAGATTCACAGCTACACGACCAGTGAGATGCTGTAATGATTTGTGCAGACCCTTCTCAGCTCCGCAACCATGATCTTTTGACCAGACTCGAACCTGCGCGGCCGCACTGCCTTTGCTGTGCGCCGAGCATTGCAAGCATGTCCGATGTTCCAGTTGCTGCTGAGCTGCTGAAGAGAAATGCGAAATCGACGGCCGCCCGTGTCGCAACGGCAAGGAGCGAATCGCCGATTCGAGTTTCGACCTGAGCCACCACAGGACCACAGCACCCGAAAAAAATCGAAAAAAGGTAAATTGCTTCCAAGCAGCTGCTGGACCGTTAACTGTTCCAACCTGAAGTCATGGTGTTTTTCGTCATGGTAACATCAACAGATCCATGTTATTTCCATGTTCATGTTGACATCGCTGACATCGCATTCTTCAAAACTCAGTGCTGAGTGGTCCAACTCCCTGCTCCCCGCTTTTTGAGCTCCAGGCATGTCAACACTTCTGGTGTGATGAACCAACTGACCTGCCATCGAATGCAACGGGAATCGAATGGTGATCACATCGATTCACTGAGTCACTGAACCGAGCCTGATAGGACCTGGTAGCTGTTGGTCGTCAGGAGAATGGTTACTCCATTCTCGTGCCTGGCATCTGCAAACTACGACTCTGTGACTATATGTGACTATGATAAATATTCATAAACCAATCATAAACTGTTGGAAACAATTGGCAAGCTGATTTTGAAGCCAAATTTCCTGCTGCGCAGCACCCTTTCCATCCTTTCCATCCTTTCCATCTGCCAATGGAAATCGTCCAAGTCGCTTGACCAACTTGGCAAAGTCAAAACATTTTCCTCAGCGATGTTCCCAAATAGTCCCATGTGGGTATGTCTGAAAATGGGCTATACCCCCAATTACAGCCATTGAGTAGGGATAATGATCATTAACCATTGGGTTTTCTGGGTACACTATTTTCAGACAAACCCATATGGTCCATCTGGTCCCATCAAAACAGCGCCTGGAAAGAAACAGGTCGGACAAGGGGCGCAGGGTGGGAATGTCCTCGACGTCTTTCATCACCAAAGCCATGGATGACAAATCCACCATGACGCTCGGACCCGTCAAGCTCAAACAGCGATGCTGCAACAACCTGAAAAAAAAATCAGAACTCCACTCATTCAAAATGACCAACTTGGGTAACCCAGAAAAATGCGGAAGATTATGAAAGAAGATGAGAAAAATATGCGTTTATAAACATGCGAAACATCGACAGCTTCACAAACCGACCAAGAAAATATGATGCACCTGTCGTAGATCTCCACCAAGAACTTTAAGCCGCCCAAAAGGTTGACATCGTGGTTGGCTCTTGAGTTTGCCAAGAACAGTGGCAGGTACACAAAGACAAAGGTTTTCTGCTCATGGCCATCCAACAGGAAAACGTCCAATAGCACATCCTGCCGGCGAGCTATGGCGAGCTGAAGATGCTGAAGGACTGATGATCTGGATACCTGGATACCCAGCTATTCGATCATACCTGCCCAACAATCGTCAACAATGATGGATCCATCTATATACCATCATCCATCTATATATCATCTGATGATCCATCATGATCCATCTATCATCAAGAAAGTCCAAGAAATGCCAAGAGTCCCTTTCTTTCTGTGTCAAATGAAGCCAATCATCTTGCAACTCCATTGCCAGCTGTTGCTCCACGCATCCTTAGCCACAAATTTCAGGGTCACAATCTTCACACCTCACACCTGGATGTTCGCCTTAAAATGCCTAAAACCATTCCATTTTTGGGGCTACAAAGTTCGCCCATACCTCAATAATCTCAATCCTCAATGTCACTCTGCCCAGGTGCGTGTGAGGCAGGCCAAACGTGCTTGAACCATGTGCGAAGGCGTCATCACTGGTAGATTCAGTGCCTCCAAGCAACATGATTTCAAGGCCATTTCTCTGCGATTTCAAAACAACAAACATTTATTCCATTTATTCCATTTATTCCATTAATTTATTTTATTTATTCCATGAAAATTCCATGAAAATTTCAGTTGAATTCTCCCTTAAAATGCTGACTTCGTATCGAAAAACATTGGGTGTTTTCTGTCAGGTTTTCTCCCAGCAGAGGATGACTTTGGTTCCATAGTTCCACCCCACCCGACTCATCCGACCCAACTCACCTCGGCCCGGCTCTGAATGTATTTCCAGTAGACCGCATGGGGGTCTAGCTCCTCAGCACAGGAAATATATGGGAACTAATGGGAACTATGACTGTTCATGACTGTGATGACTTGGTCAAAAAAAACAAACCATGAAACGATTCGCTGGTGTTTTTGATGGCTGTTTCAACTGGAAAATCTGGAAAATTGGCGGGAAAACATCAGAACTTTTTGTACATGACCAAGGCTCGTGAATCTGTTGGAGAGCGTGGAGAGCTCTGACCAAGCAACGACCATTCGCTTCGTTCAAAAAAAGAGAACCCTTCAAAGTGACAGTCCCTGTGACCTCAACTGCAAATTCCGTCGATAAAAGTGGGACATCGTGGGACATTGCTGCTGCAACAGCCAACCTACATTAAAAACCACTACTGCCATCGCCAGGCGGCTCCACAAAGGATACAAACTTGAGAGAGTAAGCACATCCTCAAGTCCCGCGGTGCTGAGCGGTGCCAGTTGGATTGATAGGAATGATAGGAAACGTTGGCGTCATGTGAAAGAATTCATCAAATCAAGATAAAGTAAATTTGCTCTCCTTTGACGCCTGCTAGTTTCTGAAAGGGAACTTGAGGGCTTGCAGCGGCTTGCACAACATGGAAGAAATATGAAGAAATATAATGTTTCCAGCCCAGGAGCTTCAAGACCTTCTCACCTTGATTTGTTAAGCCATCCTGCAGGAGAAACACGGAGTGTGGGTTGTTCTCACCCTGCAGAAACTGTGGGAAGTTGAACTCCTTCAAGATGTCAACCTCAGTCAGAGATCACCACAAGATACGAGTATCTGCGAGTACCTGCGAATACTGAGGATCACCTGTACCTGAGACTCCCAAGAACCAAACTTCTCGACGCGAAGCGTATCTTAATTTTTTTTTCATCGGATCTTGTTGGCAACTTTGCTGCCGAAGTGCAACAGGCCCAAGGTATTGATAGCTTTCACCCGTCAGAGAAGCCAAAGATGGCAGGTACGCCTGCAAGTTCTCCACGGCGTAAGACAACACCTGGCGGCCCATGGGTTTTTGATGGGTTTTTGATGGGTTTTTGATGGGTTTTTGGTTTTTGGGCATCCAAATCTGTCGCAGTCGATCCCCAAAGTCGTGACCTGCTCTGGACGTGTGCGGTCCCTGGGCGGTACAATCTTGGCAAAGTCGGGGCTCTTACAGATGCCACCTGCCCGAATCGCAAATCTTGGGCAAAATCATCAAAAGTTGGGTCAAATCTTCACGAAGCTTCCAAAATCACATGCGTTTTTGTCAAATTTCCAGAGATGAGATCATGGCGGATTAAAAAAAAAGTCTCGGAACAGTAATCAGCTGATATCAGCTGATGTCAGCTGTTCAATGTTCAGTTCAAAATCCAGAAACATACAGCGAATTACAGGAAATGTCCATGAAAGTTTCAGCCAAAGAAAAGCGCCCAAGCATGCCGGTGTTACGGCATGCCAGCAGCACCATGAGACCATTCAACTCATCCAAGGTCATCTCATCGCAAAACAGAAGATCCTGGAGCTACCCCAATAGCTGGGATGGTTGGAAAAAATTGAAAATCCTATTAAAATCCTATTAAAATGATATAAAATATGGATGATTTATGATGATTTGGAAGTTATCCTATTTTAGGAAAGCTCCAATGAAACCAACAATAAGTGTCCATGTTGAGCACAAGCCACCTGTGATGGCCAAGTACCATCAAGTTCCACCAAGCGTCGCGAATCGATTTCCATGTAGACTTGGAGAGTCGAGAAGGTCTATCCTGACTGATGGTGGGTGCATCAAATCACAAAGTCATGGTGGTTATGTGGCCAATGTGGCCTGGTTGATGGTCATGTGCTGGTAGTTGTCCTGAGTTCAAAGAGTGCCAAAGTTGGCCTGTTCGCATATTTCCCAAGATTCCCAACAAAAACATACAAAAACCGCCACAACAGTGCCATTTTTTCCCACAACGGTCCACAACGATCCACAATCCAATCCGAGATGCGCGAACAAACCATCCCAAACAAAGCATGGACAGAGTGGCCCGCTTCGCCTCTTCCTGAGTTGTGCAGCTGGGGGAAAACCTCCTGGGGGATCCTCCATGGCACAACGAAAAACGTGGCCAACACGTGGCCGGCCTGGCAGCCCAAGGCATCGTAGATGCCGCTGTCCTCTTTGAACTCGGCGGTTTGATCCAGCACCTGGCGCAGCGGCCCAGCCCCAGTGGCCCAGTGTCCAATGAGTTCCATCCGGGGTTCCATTGCCACTGGGAGAAGCACAAAAAGATCAAAAGTGTCACAAAAGTGTCACAAACCGCTCATGGAATGCTGGGCGGTTACTCGGCTACGTTATCTACGTGTTGGATCCAGCCATTGTCGCAACGAATGCCGAACCTCATCAATCTGGTCATCCAATGAATTCAATGAATCTGCATCCTCCTGGAGGAGTTTTCGGTAGTCCACCGACTTTGGTACCTCCGATTCGATGTCAACGGACGGGTCGGAGGACCACACGGACGGGTCGGAGGAATCAATCGGGTCACGGAGATTCACCCAGCGCCAAGATCAGCCAAGATGCATGGTTGACCTTGAAGGAATGTAATCGACTGGTGCCAGGAATCAGCAGCTCCTAGGAATCATTTTTCAGCAAAGTTTACGGATCAAATGTGAATCGTCTGTTGAACGATTTGAACGGAGACAGTCGGACACAGAATGTTCAAACATGTTCAATCCATATTGATGGGGGGAATATAGTGACAGCGGCCGTGGCTATGGGGTAGAACCCCTGCAGCTACTTTCCCTTCGGATACACCGCTCAACAAGCCAAGTGTCCGCCAGTTGGGTGGCAGCAACCTGTGGTGATCAAGGCAGACAGAAGCCACCAGAGGCACCAAGGTTCACTCTGCTAAAATCATGATTCGCAGGCAAGATACCGAATCATAAGTCCACTCTGTAGGAGGCAGCCTCAGCGATCCAATGATCCATGCGATGGAAGAATGCCCCATCCATCACATCCATCTGCCATTTCCGCCAAGAAGCTCCCAGGTACTCTCAAGAACATAGGATTTTTTCCTTGAAACCGCATGCAGCTTATCACCACACAATCGAAAGCATGCAAACTCCGTTCATGAAATGGTTTGAAGGCACACTCTTTTGCTGCTATCATTCACATCCCAGGTTCTCATACAATTTCAGGAAGGACTGTGCGTACCTTGTACATGGGGAGCCGTCAGAAGCGCGCAAGAAGGCAGCACAAGAAATTGCACCAACTCAAGCACAGAATGAGCAGTTTCCATCACTATGACAATGCAAAGTGCAATAGGGAAATTGAAAATCTTAACACTTATTGAACAATTATTGAACACTTATTGAACAGTTGATGGTTCTATGATCCAGTTTCTGAAAGCTTGGATTCTCTCAAGATGGGATGCTTTACTCTACCAAGGTGCTCGTGAACAGCCACCACAATTGCTGGCCAATCGTGCACCGCCTAACCAGTCATCCGTCAACACACGTCATGAAATTCGAACTTTCAGAGTGTTCCTGCAATGAAATACGAAGCCTTCCTGCCATAGAACAGTGATGAACAGTGATGACGGAACAAAACGCAGGAACCTCGATGAAGGACTGGTAGGTCATCGTTAGCGATTTCGCATAGGTCATCGCTGTCAGGGTCGATGCATGGATCCTGACAGGCCAGGAACTGATCTGCCGAAAACCCATCCCTCCTGGAACCGATGGAACCAAAGGAACCTCAAGGAACCCAACAAAATGATCATTGATCATGAGATATCATGAGTCATGAGTGATCATTGATGATCATTGCCATTTCCATCCATTTCCCATCAGTCATCATGCTGCATGCTGTTTCATGATCTTTGGGAACCAATGGGAACCAATGGGAAGCAATTTTGAAGAAACGACTCAACTCGCAGTCCTGGACAAGTAGAGAGAAAGCTCCTTAGCCACCAACAAAACATCGGGGACCTGGTGGGGCCTATTTTGTGACGATGACAGCTGTCCAGCGGACGCGGCGGACGCGTCCTCTGGGTCCGGCGGTCCGGCCAAGTCACGGCGAACCAGCTTTCATTATTCCAGTGCACGCTTTTGCTGTTGCGGTTTTTCACATGAAAGTTCTCCTGAGCCAAAGTGACAAAGTGCTTCAAAGTGCTTCAATATCTTCAATTGAAGCATAAAGATATTTTGAAGAAAAATGCTTAGCAATTGAATCACTTTGAATCAGGTCTCTGGGGGGAAGGGGCATCCTACATGACTTGCCATGACTTTGCCATGACTTGCTGCACCAAGCAACGCTTTTGGACGGTTGAAACGAGAACCCCCCGTGTGTTGTGATGTAGACACCTTGCAGGGGAGGGCAGATCCACCGTTGGTCAACGTCAAGAAATGGCACCAGCAAGAATCCAATCTGGTTGGAAAACTGTGTGAGGTTAAGGATTCAGAATCCAATATTGGCTAAAAGAATCCAAAAGAAGAGTATAGAAAAGTACAAAGATGGTACTAGTCTAGAGGTGTCCAGAGTCCATTCTGTGATTCCAAGAGACAGCCAGCGTATATCATTCCAGGCAGATTCAAACTTAAAGAATTCATCTATGTGCAGCGCATCTGTCGAACAATTTGGGACCCCGTCAATTCATCTATCCAAAGTGGTCAAGTCTAACACTTTCCACTTTCAGACTTTTCCAAATACTTCTCATCTTTCCATATGATTTTCCTATACCTACAGGATACTACAGGATACTAAGGTGCTCTTTTTTGGTGCTTGGATTTTTTGGTGCTCAACGATGTCAACGAGGTCAAGCCGTAAGCCGCACACCTTCGGCTCGCCGACCTTCGCTGAAGATGACCTCACCATGGATGTAGACCTTGGATTGGAAGGACGAGGCCAAACGACCTCGGCGTCGCGACACACCCGAGCTGAATCGCTCTGGAAGATGGATGGATGGATGGATGGATGGATGGATGGATGGATGGATGGATGATGGATGGATAAGTATGATGGATTATCCCATTCATTATCATTTATCATCCATAATTCCATGGATAAGTACAATTTATCATGGATTATCCCATGAAAATTATGAGTCATCATCCAGAATTACCATATATTACTAAACCATAATCCAGTTCCATGAAAATTATCCATAATCCATGGATGATGAATGGATAATTAATTAACGGATGATGGATGAATGGATGAATGGATGAATGGATGATGGATGGACAATGGTCTGTGCACGCCTTTTGTCATAAATTGTAGGCTGAATAAAGTCTACAACTGAGTACAACTGAGTCGAGAACCACCAAATTCCAGTCTTTCCTCAGCAGTGAACTCCAGCTTATCGAGACATATTATTTGATGGCTCTTGGAATTTCCGAATCTTGGATCCACCAATGTACCAATGGAATGGAGATGCAAAAGTGGCACAACAGAAGACGCTTGAGGAGTTTAGAATGTCCGATTGTAGAAACTGCATTTCACGGGTGTACAAACAAACACATTGAATAGATTTGAAAAGGCTGACAGAGGCCTGCCAGGAAAGAATGTGAATCACTAGCTGAACGCTTCAAGTTTCATCCATCAGCATGGAGAACAGCGGGTGGATGGAGAGTTTGTCGCTGGTGTTCACCATATGGAGCTCTTGAATCAGCGTGGTCGGCAAGAAATCCAGCGCCAACGGCTCCCGGAAATCCAGTGGGTTTTCACCCGACCGCAAGACTTCATCAAGAGCCGCCACCACACGCCTCGGTTCCAAGGATTGCCACTACGTCACGTCGTGTTCCAAGGGGGTCGTGATTTGGTTCCAAGTGGCTGAGACTTTCTGGAGAATTCTTCAACCCGAAACGTCCAGTTCCATCCACTCACTCACAGTAGCATACAGCATGTGTTTTGGCTGTTATTGTCTGTTCATGTCTGTTCCTATTTTCGATAGTTCTTTCTCTTGGCCGTTTTCCCTTCCTTGCTTCTTACAATTCCAGGCTCAAGCCAAACATCCAATCCGAAACATCCAAACCATTCGCGTCACGTACCACTTCACCGAGGGGCTGCGTCAGTGCTTTGGGCGCTTTTGTCTTTCTCAACCACCGTTGCAAGTCTCGTTTCACGGACTCGCGTTCCTGCAGAAACAAGCTCGCGTTTCATCACACGTTATCACAACAGTCACAACGCGGGATGACTCGGCATAACCCGACAGCGCATCCTTTGTCTTCTCGTTCATCTTGTTCAAAGTCCCACTGATGATTCCTCGGAATGGCAGAAAAGCCAATCGCTTTCATTGCAGACACGAGAACACGACAGCGGTAGCGGTGGCACCCAAGCCCTGGCAGCCAAGCTTCCAATCTGTGCTCCCAGCATGGGCAAACACGTCAGGATGATCGCCAGCACCAGGGCTTGTTCCAGCTCGTTGGTTGCAGCAAAAGGGTACGGTGCTGGAGTGTACCTGGCAATGAGACGCAGTCACTGCAGTCAATGAAATAAAAATGGGATGGAAATATATGGAAAATGATAGAATGGCCATGAATGGCCAATATGGTCGAAGCATTTCGCAACAGCAAATCAAATGCTGCGAAGGGACTCTGCAATGACCCAGTTGAAGGAGATCCTCAGCAGTTTTTTTCAGAAAGGAATTGCTAAAACAGTCCTTGCAGCACATGGAGAAGTGAGAACATATGAAAACATGCTGAGTTGTCACTGAGATTCACTGTTGATCATGTTGGTCTGAAAATCCAGTGAAAATCCAGTGAAATTGGTGAACCAATGTTGAAACCAAGGCAACCAAGCTGGCAACCAAGCTGCATGTATTGAAACAGCCAGCTGTTGTCGGTAACCTGGTTCTCATCCATCCAGTTGGTTCGATGGCTTTGTTGCTCTCGGCGCCCCACGTAGACGGTGACGCAGGCTAAGACGTGGTTCACGATGAGAATGAAAATCACACACTGCAGAATCGTGGAGATGTGCTTGGCGCGAATCAGCCCCCGGGATTCCAAGATACTCTCCAATTCCACCATCGCCTAAAAAGGGCGCTTTAAAAGACGCCATGGTCGTTGGTCAACACCAGAGATGATTAATATGACTCAGATCAACCTGGTGAGGTTGTATGATGTTCTATGATGTTGGACCCCTATAAAACGATGGTGCCTCGGAAAATTGGACCCAGCCGACCCCATGAAAAAAGCGACCTTCTGTCGACTACAAGTGCTCCAAGAGACGTGCTTGAACTTGGCAAATCGAAACAAGCGCAGCAAGGTCAATGCCTTTAGAGTCTCTGGTACCATCTGCAAAAGGAGGACGAAATCCAAGACCACCAAACAAACATCAAACCAAAACCAGGAACCTCAGTGACTTCACATAGGCAATGGCATGTGGGCCATGGCATGTGGGCCATGGCATGTGGGCCTAGTGTTGTCTACAGCAGTGTAGCAGTTTCTTCATGTTTCTTCTGTTTGCTCAGTTGGTTTTGAAGTGGTGTCTTAAATCACCATTGATGACACTATCTACACCTCTAAGTTTCTGAAATGAAGGATGCATCGGATGCACCAAGTTCCGGGAAATATGGCGCCACTGGGTCTCCCACAGGCATACATCAGTAGCGCTTTCTTCTTTTTCCCGGAAAGACTCGCTATCGCAAAGTTCATCAGAATATCAATGACCCAAAAGACGGGGGTCACCTCTCCAAGTCGGTGCGTCATTGCGGGTAATCATGAGCCCACTATTTGGGGATAGATTCACTGGCACAGATTTCCATATTTCGGGCTTGATGGTATTCACACTGAAAGTTGCAAAAATATGGAGAGATCGGGTAGATTGGATAGATCGGATAGATGATAGATTCATCCATGCTTGGTCATGTGGTAAAATATGATTTTCTGGCCTCATGGCATCATGTTGAATCACGCACCACGTCTAAATTCTAAGTTATGATACGTATGATACGTTACAAAGAGTCAAGAATCCTCAAGAATAAGTCGGATCGCTTAACTCAGGGGATATGAAAATCTCATTCTATGTTCCATCCATTTCAATAGTTTTCAATTCTTTATGGATAAAGATGATAAGACATGTTCTCAACCGCCCCATGTTTTTCCATTTTTTCCACGGCCTTGTAGAAGTTGTCCACGGGGCCATTCTCTCTGAAGCGTTCGGGCCATGCCAGGAGGATGGGCAAGACCAAGGCATCGAAGGCCACCAGGACGATGGTCAGAAAATCCCAGGTCAGTCGGCCGAAGCGAAGCAATTCCTGCAGATGGAACTCCTATCTGCTTGGAATCTGCTTAAAATATGATCCGATACATCTGGGAGATCTGTGGGTGAAATGATATTTGAATCCAAATGATCTCCATTTGAGACCGTGCCTTACCCAGTGGTTCTGCTTTTCTGCTTTGTGTTCCCCAATTGCACCATATGTCAGTGGGGATCTGCAGCCATCAAAATCCGACCCAGTGGTGCATAAGGGCTGCCAGTGATGTTGGTCAATTTGGCCAACGATCGGTGCCTTGGGATTGAAGACGATCGTCAAGTTCATTGTGCTGGTTGGCAGCCAAGCCTGGCGAAAAGCTTGGACCACAAAATCAGATCATCGAATTGTGAGACCATGGAGACGCATGGAGACCAATCCTGAGATCATTTCTGTGGTCTATGTTTAGTCTATGTTTATTCTATGTTTAATCTATGTTTTAGGTCTCCCCATTTGCACCTATACTCGCGATTCTGCCTGTAAGTTCCAAGTGATATGGCTGTGTCTCCGAGCAAATCCTCCCTTGGGCGTATCATCTTTGCCTCAAACCGCAAAAAGGCCGTTGTTCCACACATCTCACAGAGAGGTTTTCACATAGAGCTGGATGCCAAAGTCTCAATTTTCAACGGCTGTGAACCCAAAATATCAAACATATACGCGGCAAACCCTAGGTCTGCCCGCGGCGAATCCCGCATATCCTTTGACATGCTCAAATCCCTGCGTAGAGTTTAAGTGTGTTACTTTCCAAAACATTCCAAAACAACAAACCCTAAAACCCTGAAACCTAAAACCATTAACATCATGAACCCTAAATTAAAACCTAAATCCTGAAAACTTAAAGTCAAAATCACTGCGTATAGCCAGTGTTTTCATTCATCCTCTGGTGATACGTATATCATATTGTTTGGATGTGTTGTTTGAGTGTGGGCGAACCCGGGGTTTGGAGGGAACATGTATTACAATTCTATTCCATGCATAGCTGAACAGCCAATTGATATAATTTGATCAATATCCATCGGATTCCATCGGTATCTGTCGCTCCAAAGCTCAGCTCCAGGGCACGATGCATGTCCGTGTAAATCTCAATCGCTTCCTGCTGGGATAGCACGAATTTCTCGCGCCATTCGTCCAACATTCGGCCACCTGGGACGTAAATTCGACTCCCTGAAGCCGTGGCTCACTGTTTCGCTTTTGGCGATTAGGATGGTGATCTTTCCATCCAGAATAGCTTTCACCAGAATGGTCTTACATGGTCTTACCTTCACTATTTTTTTCCCATCCTGTTGACACTGATTTCAGGATCACCAGCGTCCCAACGATCCCAACGGGTCGCCTGGAGAGTCTTCCAATGTGACGCTGGAAAGCGTACTTTTGGAGGAGAGCATCGAGTGGCGTTTGGGAGCCGTGGTGGTCAACATCGGCACACCATTGGCCAACAGTTCGAATTTCTCCTCAGATTCAGGATATATCAGGATATTCAGGATATGCAGAAGTTTCAGAAGACTGAAGATGATTGAAGATAATTGAAACATTTCAAGGTCCAGATGGTTGTGGAATTGCAAAACATCCCAAACCAGAGCTACCGAAATGAAACGAAGAGCGTTGCATAAGTCAAACGGCGAGGCACGGGTTTGTCTTCCAAAAGCGGTGAACTTGGAAAGCTTGCCTCGGTACGCACAGAGATGAGTTCAGGCTCCGAGCCGAGCTAGCCGAGCTCAAAAGCTCAACTGAGCCACTTGCCGGAGAGCTCGGAAGCTTTTGACCATCTGGAGACGCCTTACGGATGCAGCGCCCTGAAACAACCTTGCTAAACTCTATTCAGCAGAGTACTGCAGGTACTTCCATCCGATTCCATCCGATTCCATCCGATTCCATCCGATTCCCTTCGGTCTCCATGGGCCTCCAGATCCACGGGCTCAAGTTGATCACCAATGGCCTGGCACAGTGAGCCCAAACCCATCACCGACTCAGCGACTCAGATGACTTGCCTTGGCGCTGTGGATGAGTTGTTCTTGAAGCTGCACCAGCAGTTGAATGTCCACCTCCACTTTGCCTCAAATGGATTCAAATGGCCACTCTTTGGCCAAACGGCGCCAAACATTACAAAACTTCTGGCAGAAGGGGAGAGCTTCAAGGCATTTGGTCATATTTCGTCAACATCTTCAAACCTTTCCTATCCTTTCATCAAGCTGCCCAAGGCCATTCTTGGCAATTCTCCGAAGATAGCTGGAGATGGCTGCACCAGGCGGAAGGTGAAAGACTCTGATGTATTCTAATGATTCTAATGTATTCTGATGTCTGATTTCTTGGTGTTTCTTGGGTGCCATGGGAAGCTGACAATCTGTCTCGCCTAAGTCATGTGGCAACTGGTCATCTATCATCCATCCGGATTGATCAGGTGTTCCATATCCCATAGCCGCCATAGCCACATGGTGAGCTCTTGACATTGGCGGCGTATGTGGTTCTACGAAGCTTGAGCCAATCAGAAATGTCGTATGTGGTTCTACGAAGCTTGAGCCAATCAGAAATGTCGAAATGTCGAAATCGTTCAGTCCGTTGTGAAGTGGAACTTCATTGTCTTGATGGTCTTGGTTGGCTGTTGTGGTCATCTCGGATTCTGACCTAAAGTGATTCACATCTGAGATATTCAAAGCTTTGCTCAGGCCGCAACGGGACTTAAAGGCCTGAAGAGGTGGTGACCAGTGGTGACTGCTTCGTTTTCAGGTGGTCTGTTCCAAGGCTCCACAACAGCTGCATCCGGCCTCCTTTGCCTTTGCCCGTGGCGCCCACGGCTTCTGACATCTCCTCGTCATCTTCCACGGCTTCAAAAAGCAGCACATCATCTTCGAGGACAGGCATCAACCTGCTTGTCAACTGTGGAAATATCGGAAATGTCAAACAAAACCTATAAAATCGATAAAATGTATTAAAATGTCATGAAATATCTGCACAACTCCCATATCCTCTCGGCACACTCTTGGATGATGTCAAGATCACCCCACCAGTACACAGGGGGAACTCATAGTCTGCACCGCTCAGCTACATTCAGGGCACAATATGGCACAATACTCCAGACATTTCAACGGTACTCCCCGGTACTCTGGGCCCGGGCAATTCGTCTTGTTCCCAGATGGGCGACTCTGCTGCGGATCGCAGCAACTCAGGAATGGCCTGTGTCTGTTGATGCATCTTGATGCCATGTCTGGTTTTGGAACATGGAATATGGCGCGCACGTACCGAAATCGATGAAACGCCAAAAGATTTGGCAAGACATTCAGAGCGAAGCTTAAAAAAATTGAGTTGAATGACAATGGCCAGCTGAGTGACACACAGATAGTCACAGATACACACAGTCTGTCATAATCTGTCATACTGACATCTGCTCCACGTCATGGCGACAAGCCTCTCGTGCTGCATTCGGCCCTAGTCTCCTCACGACGGAAACCCACAAAACAGTGCTGCAAAAAACACGGAGTGATTTTTCTCCAACGGACCGCATCAGCTCAGCCCAGCTACACAATGGGGCAAGCTGCACACCCAGTGGCGTGCTCAGCTCCAAAAACAAGGGGAGCTGCATAAGACTTTAAGATGGACGCTCTAAACCAAATCAAGTGAGCATAGATCTGCATAGCATGTTTCATCTTGAAAATGAATCAACCTGGACCTGGCTCTCAAAGTTCTCAAGTTGAAAAATCACGAGTTCTTCTGAGCTCCCCATCCCCAGGGCTTTCGCTGCACGCTACTGGCACCATTGGTGCAGAGCTGCGGCGCTACAATTTCTCTTCAGTTGACATATGGGGATGGGTCAAAACCCTGTACCCCTGGTGAACCCCAAAATAGCTGGGATTTATGGATGTTCATCCCACTAAAAATGGTATTAATAGGTATTGATCCATTCCCATATGTTGACTTCGATGAGCCCATAGCCCGCCAAAGATCTCAGCTTCGGCGGTCTTTGGAGTGTCATGGTCATCGACAACAATAGATACTTTCAGCTCAAAAGAATGAGGTATCAATGAAGAAAACCCAATTTGTCATTGGCGTATGATTTTGGGCCGTGGCCACATCTGTTCCACTACCAATGTGTTGTTTTGGGGGACATGGTAAAGATCGGACACCTCAACCAAGCAATGTCTGCGGACATAACGAATCCAGAACTGCAGAGGTTGCACGCTCAAAGGGCCTGCACCAGCCAATGTTACAGAAGGCTATGTTTCCATGTTGCAGAAATGAAGCAAAGGCATACATATGTTCACATATGTTCACATAATCATAAACTGAGAAAATCCCCTGTCAACAGCTGGCCAGGCCTCCAAGTTTTTCCGGTACGCAGTGCCTCAATTTCCCCACAGCTGCAATCGCTGCAATCACCAGGGGAGTGATCCCACTTTTCGACCAGCGAACGCAGTTTGATGTCAAGATTCCCATATCACTCAGTGGATGAAGAATTTACATCAATTTACGGTGTGCCCTGGTGTTTTGCTATCAAAGAAGCATTGCTCAAATCCCCTCGAATCAAGCAAGTGCTTTGCCACAAGTGGAACTTCACAAGTGGAACTTTGAAGGCTAAACGCTTCTGTGCAGGTGTCTATCGTCATGAGTTCCCTCTCTTTACTTGCCCAGGCACGGTTCTTTTTCTCGTAACGCCGCTTGTAGGACTTGTACTTGGCTATGTACTCCTGTCAAGATCTTCCAGAGTTGAATCTGTCCGGTTTTGACAGTTTCAAAACAAATTTCAGGAAATATCTGATGGCTTCATATACGTCAACACTTTACCGGGAATATTTTTCTAATGTCTTGTCCTCACTATGAGGGAGATGACAATAGCGAGCGAGGCAATCTGGCTTGGTGCAGGCAGGATATTTCTCCGGATCCGCAAAGTACCTGGAGGTTTTGCCAATCCGCCAATCCCACTGCAGCCACTGCATGGAGGGTTCATCTCAAAACTATCCACCGCATCCACCAATGTATTGCTACCCGCCTGCTCTGGAAGAGACAGGGTTGACAGCAGCCCTGTTCGACCGACCCGATTCAGGTTGCGAAAACATGGGGGCAACCACCCATGCATCCCAAAAAAGGTTCGAAATCGCCGTGAAAACAATCCCAGAAAGGCTGGAAAAAGAAAACGTAAGAACTTGAAACAGATCAGTTATGTCAGTTATGTCTTTTAGGGTTCATAAAGCAACGGAAACTGATCTGTTTTGGTACGGTTAAAAACCCTCTGGTCATCGTTGAAAAAAAGGCCTTGGCGTGAAGCAAATCCGGACTGCCCTCACTGGAACTGGAAGCTCTTCCCGCATCCGCCCTAAAGGGAGCAGATCTTGATCTTTTGATCTTTCCAAAAGTCAGGATCCATAAAGTTCAAGATGTTAAACAATATAATATGGTGTGTATAAGTTAAACAGGGGGTCGAACCAGCCACCCAAAAGAAAAGGGGGAAACTAGTCCGGCAAACCCTGCACATGCGAAAAGCACCTTTTACGGGTCAATGGCAAGACACTATACTTAACCCAGGTAGTTGTTAGGGTTAAGGGTACTCCCATTTCTACCTACAACCCTCTACATGTATAACGCTTCTATACATGTGGTGCTACAACTGTACATGTATTGAGATGTACTACTTCGGATGTTATGGAATCATAGCTACGGCATGTCTACACTAGACCTACTACCTATGCTATACATAGTGGGGCTCAGGGGCCGATATATTTCAACTCCCCCCTCGCCTGTTCCACACGCACTGCGCATTGGCAGTAACCTACGCAACTACTGTCGCGCGAACGGGCGTCCGCTGCGACCTAGGCGTTGGCTTTAAGGTCTAAGGGGAGGTCAGTACGTATTCCTAAAAGGATTAGTGCTGCTGCCCATTTGTGTGGAGGCAATGCCTTGGTAAATATGTCTGCCGCCTGATCGTCGGTGTGGGTGTACTCTATTTCGGCAGAGTCATCTCGGAAGATCTCAGACAGGCAAGACAAATTCACTTTGTGAGTTCTAGTTATATGGCGAAGCTTAGGACTATATCCCTTCTTCACAACTAGGATTGTTGCTTGGTTATCTTCGTGGACCCTTAAGGTTACGGAGCGTGCAAGCAACAGCTCCCATAACTGCAATGCGGGCAAGCCTTCTTGATAAAGCGAGTGGGCTAAGCTAACTACTTCGCTTTCCGTGGTTGATCTAGAAGTGGATGTTTGGCGCTTGCTAATCCATGCAAGTGGGAAGAAGGAACTAGGGCCAGATAAAACCAGAAAGCCACCAGAGGTTGAACGTGCTGTTGATCTGTCGCCGGCGAAGTCGCCATCGACGAACAGTCTAAGCTCTAGGTCTTCAGGCTTGTCCTGAATGGTACCTACCAACCTATAGTGTGGGGTTGAGGCTATATACTGGATTAATCTTAGGACCTTCTTATCATCCCCCCTGGACCACGACTGGACTTTTGTGGCCAGATCATTGATAGGCTTGATGATATCGGGACGTGCAAGTCTACCTAACCAAAGGGCTTTCATCAAAATCTTACATGCATTTGGAGCTAGTTCCCCTTTAGTTTCATCATCTTCAATGGTGATGGATCCCTCAGGTGGAAATGGCGTGGCGGCATGCTTGAGTTTGGTGACACCAGTTATTGATTTATACAAATCTACGGTCTGCTGAGCGTAGTCTGCCATATCAAAAACCATGCCATCTTGGGCTTGGAAGGCTGCACATTTTTCATGCACTTCGGTCTTGGATAGTGGGGTAACAACATGGTTGCGTCCAAGAATCCTATAGATGGGCTCTGGGGGTTCAATGTCTACCACAGAAGTTAACTTACTCCAGAATGCATCATGCTGGTCAGCGGGGCCAGCTAGAGTTAAATCGTCTACATAAGTTGACAGAAGTAACTTTGTATCTGGGAAGTAAAAGTTTCCTGGGTATTCTGGAACTTCCTGTCCACCAAGGTTCTTGATGATGACTTTCAGGTGTTGTTCCCACAGGCCTCCGGCATCAGGATGACCGTATAAGGCTTTAATTAAGAGGACTACGGGCTTAACAAACTGTTGTTTCCAATACTTAGGGCGGAGCTCCGGGGGAAGCTCAATCCAAGTTTTGTATTTGGAAGATAACAGTGCTTGGACGTAAGCTTTGACTGCATCTGCAGCCGTCGCGCGGTTACCCGGCAGCGACCCGTACGCCAAGCAGGCGTTTAGCCCTTGGACGGAGGTGGGGTTTGCGCCGAGTTCTTGGTAAACCGCGGCTGCACCATGTTCGTCCTTTGCGCAGTCTCCTCTGTACACAATGCGCCCCTTCATTTTGTGAAGGTGGTCTGCAAGCTCGTAGAATTTAATGGACGCAATGGTCATGAGCTGACCAAAGTGTACTGACACACCCGAAGCCTTAGCTTCTTTGCGTACATCTTCCTTCTCGCGGACCGAGCTAAGGTCCCAAGTACCAGCCTTAACTAAACCATCGGCTTCGGCGCGGATTGCCTCGAGGGCCTTGGGATTGGACAACATCTCTGCACGGGACAAGAGCTTAGTGACCATTGCTTTGATCTCAGGCGTTGGCGCCTTAGGGTCTTCCAGGTGAAAGGCTTGGGCGATCAATTGTTCATGGTCAAGAAGTTCTGTAACCAACCTATTAGCAGTGGGGTCTGATTCAACAGCTAGGGCTAAATCTTCAAAACCAGCTAATGGGGATACGTGCTTAAGGTGCTGCTCAATTTCCCTATGGGGTTGAGGCTCGCTGTTTGCCGGTCGGCAAGGCATAGCAGGAACGGACTGCTGGGCACATTTTGAGGGATATAAAGCTTGCGCAATTAAACTAGTCATTTGGGGCAGATACATCGCGGAGCGAGTGGTCTCAGCTCCCTCACATCTGGAATGAGGTTGCTGGCATCGGCACCGCATATCTTGAAACGCCTCTACAATTCGGGGAGAAGTGGTCTTGAGTTTCCATGGCTTTTTGATGGGATAACCATTTCTGTCGGTTAAACCTACGGTACACCCTTCAAAACCAACGGTCATAAACTGGGGATGCTTCTCAAAGAATGCTACAACGTCAGGCCTTTTCCAGCCAGAGCAAGGTCTTGGCCACTCAAACGTTACAGTACCACCATGATTGAGAACCCTTTCAGCGCGTTTGGAAAAACTCTTAAACAACCGTTTGGACTCTTTGACCTGGTGGGCAAGCTTCCTAATGAATGCGGCACCACCCCTCTTCCTATTGATGTACTGCCAAGGGGATCCGGATGTGCAAGGGATAGAGGCCCACATATGTGGAGGTGCAACCTTAGCGGCTTCATCTATCTGATAGTCTAGTTGCTCACATTGTGACTCATCTCCCAGGTCTATCCTATCCTTACAAAGTCTAACATGATTAATGCCATATTCTTGGTGAGTAAAACCCATCTGGGAGTCCTCAGAACAAGCAAATTCAAACATGGTTGACTTGGCATTGGGTCTGGAAGCTTTCTTGGCAGCTTTCCGGCTCCTACGATTATCGCGGTTAGTTGGCTTACCTACAGCGGGGCAACCAAAAACAGGCAGCGATTTTTGACATAGGTCGGAACATCGATTGGCAACTTGGGGAAGAATAGCTACACCAGAAACAGAAACAGCAGGCTCGGCTGGAGCGCTGGGTTCGGACGACCCTGGTACTTCACCTCTTATGAAGATTTCAAGGGTGTGAAATAGTTTTAGGAATTTTTTTTTGAACAGGTTTGGGATTTTTTTTTGGATTTCTTGGCTGGTACCATTTGCCTAGTGTTTGCAACTGTTTGGAACTTGAATTTGTCATTTTGCATGGTATTTGCAACACTTGGGCATGTTCACCTTCCATTTTGCATGGGATTTACTACATGTGGGCATGTTCACCTTCCATTTTGTATGGTATTTGCCACATTTTGGCATGTTCACCTTCCATTTTGCATGGGATTTCCTACATGTGGGCATGTTCACCTTCCATTTTGTATGGTATTTGCCACATTTTGGCATGTTCACCTTCCATTTTGCATGGGATGTTCTACATGTGAGCATGTTCACCCAAATATTTACAGATGCGGAAGCTTGGGATTAGATAAAAAGCGGGTGGGGGGGATTGAGGGACGGCGCTAGCTATCTATCCAGCTAGCTAGCTATCTATCTAGCTAGCTATCTATCTAGCAAGCTAGCTATCTATCTACCAAGCTATCTATCTATCTAGCTATCTATCTACCTATCTAGCTAGCTATCTTGCTAGCTATCTATCTACCTATCTAGCTATCTAGCTAACTATCTATCTAGCTATCTAGCTATCTAGCTTTCTATCTATCTAGCTATCTATCTATCTAGCCATCCAGCTGTCTGTCCAGCTATCTAGCTATCGAGCTATCTAGCTAACCATCTATCTAGCTATCTAGCTATCTAGCTTTGTATCTATCTAGCTATCTATCTATCTAGCCATCCAGCTGTCTATCCAGCTATCTAGCTATCGAGCTATCTATCTAGCTATCTATCTATCTAGCGAACTATCTACCTATCTATTTAGCTATCTATCTATCTATCTAGCTATCTATCTAGCTACCTCTTTATCTATCTAGCTAGCTATCTATCTATCTAGCTATCTATCTAGCCATCTATCTATCTAGCTATCTATCTAGCCATCTATCTATCGAGGTATCTAGCTATCTATCAGACTCTAGCTATCTATCTATCTAGCTGGCTATCTATCTATCTAGCTATCTATCTACCAAGCTATCTATCAGCTATCTATCAGCTAGCTATCTATCTATCTATCTGTCTGTCTGTCTATCTATCTATCTATCTATCTATCACATGTAATCCTGTCAGCTTTCCAGAGAAGGTTAGTTCGCAAAAACCAACTAATGTAACTTGGGTTTAAGTTTAAATAAAAAAAAGCGGGAGGGGGGGATTGGGGGGAGGGCGCAGCGCCTCCCCCCAAAGCAGAATGCAAGCACCTCTTCTCACATGTTACGTTGCTAGTTTTCAAGAGAAGGTTGGTCATGTGATACTCAGGGATGTAAATACTGTGCAAAATGCATCTTACATGAAAATCAAGTATTTAAAGCAGGCAAAGCAAAAAAAAGCAGAGAAGCAAAAAAGCAGAGAAGCAAAGAAACAGGAAACGCACAAAAGCAAAACAGCAGAAAGGCAAAGAAGCAGGAAAAGCAGAAAAGCAGAAAAGCAAAAAAAGCAGGAAAAGCAGGAAAAGCAGAGAAGCAAAGAAACAGGAAAAACAGAAAAGCAAAAAAGCAGAAAAGCAGAGAAGCAGAGAAGCAGGAGAAGCAGAAAAGCAAAAAGCAGAAAAGCAGAGAAGCAGAGAAGCAGGAGA